CCAGTGGAACAACCTGGTTAACAGCCGCGAGAGCGATTGTGGGCGTGCCAAGGTACGCCCACGTGTCACCTATCCTCCGCGAGCTGCACTGGCTTCCTGTGGGTCTCCGGACGCAATTCAAGGTGTTGGTTATCACCTTTAAAGCCCTTCATGGCATAGGGCCAGGTTACTTACAGGACCACATACTGCCGCACAGTTCCCAGAGACCGGTGAGGTCTCATAGATTGGGCCTCCTTCAGGTCCCATCGGCCAGACAATGTCGGCTGGCGGGCCCTCGGGGAAGGGCCTTTTCTGTGGTGGCTCCGACCTGGTGGAATCAACTTCCCCCCGAGGTTCGAACTACTCCCACCCTGCCGGCCTTTAAGAAAGCCGTTAAAACTTTCCTGTTCCGGCAGGCCTGGGGCTGATGTCCCCGGGGGTGGGGGGATATGATCGGACATGCTGTATGATTGTATTATTTTATTGTTAGATGATTGTTTTAATTTTGTACGCCGCCCTGAGTCCTTTGAGATTGGGCGGCATATAAATAAAATTAAATAAATAAATAAATAAAATAAACCTGCCTCCAGAAGCGGTGAATGCTCCAACATTAGAAATTTTTAAGAAGAAACTGGACAGTCATTTGTCCGAAATGGTATAGGGTTACCTGCCTGAGCAGAGGGTTTGGACTTGATGACCTCCAAGGTCCCTTCCAACTTTATTATTATTATTATTATGTCGCATGTTTGACATGCCTGGAATATAGCTTTACACATATGACATTAATCTACATACCAAAAATATAGATGGAATCACATTCCTCACTACAAATTTTGGTCTTAAAGGCCTGACACTAGTTTTCCTAATCATATAAACTGTTTTTACCAAGCTGCAACTGTTTGAGGTAAGTGCAAACACGATGTTCTCCAGATGCTGGATTACAATTCCCATTACCCCAATCACCAGCAATGCTGGCTTAGAACTGTTAATTCTCCACCTCTGATTTTGTCTAGGCTCTTTCGTAAAGTTGGCATAGTTAATGATTAGATCTCTGGTTTAAGTTGCTTATGTTAAATTTAACACAACATAGGAAATGTGACCTCAGACATTCTTGCACTTTAGGAATTTAATCTCAGTTATATACAAGGGTGATATAAGAGATCTCCTTCTGGTTACTTGGATTTTGCCTCTGATCTGCACTGGACTGCAAATTGCTGCTTCACTCACCATCATCTTCATCTGCTACTTTCATCTCTTTCTCATCACCCTCATCTCGAGACCGCCCTGACATCAGTGCTAATTCCTTAATCACTTCTTCTGTTGTAAGCTTGGCATCAATCGCCAAAAAAGCATCTTCAAGTGCCTAATAAGAAAAAAGGAAGATCTCTTTGTGATGGTGCCCAGGGAGACCACCATTAATGTTAGAAACTATTTAGATAGCAACTTATCCAAGATGTATGATACAGCTCTTAATAGCCCCAATAAACAAGCTAATACTATACTGCAGTATAATTAATACCAGTGGACAAAAAGATTTGTCACTTTTTCTTTCATTGTTATACAAAAAATAGCCAATTTCTAACCAGAATTTGCTTCACATTTATGCTAAACTCTAGTTTTTAACAAGCAATTTAGATATTTTTACAATATAGTCAAAGAAAATATCTTAAAAGCATCAAATGACAAAGACAGAGAAAAGACAGAATGGAATCATGAAACAAGATCCAGTCACAGAATTAGCTATACTTCTTTGGCACACTGTTCTATAGTTTTGGGAGATAGCCTTTCCGTCTTACTTTTTGTAGTTTGCCTTCTTTATATGCTTTCTGATCCTTGATGATCTCTGGCAGGTATTTGGCACAATAGAGGGCTACTTCTTCTCCTACAGCAAAGAGGACAACAGTTAGCAACTGACAGTCCCTTGTTTCATCCCACAAGTAACCACATGTTTGTTTCAAAGAAAATATGCTTTGGCATCCCAAAGCTGAACAAATGGGGTAGCATGGAAATAACTCAGACCCATTTATTAGGCACACAGGAGTTAGGATTGAGTTAGGACCCTAGCATTGACAAACCCATTATTCAACAAAATCCACAGAAGTTAATCAGGCAGACCATCAAGACTTCCGGCACAGCAGTTAGATTGCAGTCCTGCAGGCCACTTTAGCTGACTGTGTTCAGCAGGTCAGCGGTTCAAATCTCACCGGCTCAAGGTTGACTCAGCCTTCCATCCTTCCGGGGTAAGTAAAATGAGGACCCAGATTGTTGGGGGCAATGTAAATATATATATATATATACATTGCTTACTGGTGTACACCGCTTAGAGAGTGCTTGCACTTAAAGCGGTATATAAGTCTCATAAATAAATAAATAAATAAATAAATAAACTGGTCACCTGCCTAGTCAATTTCAATTAGAAACAAATGCCTGCATAAGAATAAAGAGCACTGACAATGAACCTCCTCAAGCTGTGGGTATGTAAGGGCCTGCAAGATAGCCTTCTCAAAATGCCTGGCCCCAACAGATGTCCTTAAACTTGTAGACATTTTGTTATTGGATGGCCCTTACCTCCATGACCATCGTATACAGAGAACATTGCAGTCTCGCTGTCTAAATAGGGAATGCAGTTGTGAGCATCCTGAAAAAGAGAAGGATCGGTGAAGGGGGAACAGCAACTACCGTGCGCGGGAACAAGCCCTTGGAAACTCTCAGCAATTTAAGAAGAGGCCAAGAAAGAAGGCAGATATACAAGCGCAACGGTTCTCGCAACCTGCCGGTGCCTCTGGGGCACCCAACTATCAACAGCTCCGCAAATATAGGGACTCCATGACAGGGTGCCCACATGGAGCCTCTGGCCGTTAATCCTGCGAATAATCAGAACGTTTTTCCCACTGAAATCCGCCATAAGAAACGAGGCCGGGGCCTCCCGTAGGAGAGAATCACCCAGCAAGACACCGTTCTCCCGCCCTCAGTCCGTCCCGCCCTCACCTCCATGGAGACCCGCCAGCCCTGCATGGCGCTGTAGCCGAAGTGCAGTGGCCGCGGCCCAATTCCGACACCATCCCCAGAGCTCTTGGCCGTGCTGGGCTGCGACAGGTAGGCACCCATGGCAGGCAGGCCCGGGCCCCGCCGAGCCCAAGAAGGAAGAGCGGCAAAGACAGAAAGCGAACGACAGAAGGAAGGCGATTTAGGGACCGGAAACAGACACCATAGAGTCCCCGCCGAGGAACCACGGGAACCGGATGTGAGGACAATGAATGATACGAAGAAAAAAAAGCGTTTCCGAGCAGAGCGATTGCTAGAGAGGTGAGGGAAATTGAAGGCCATCGCTGGACAGAAGGGAATGAATGGAGAGTGGGAGGGGAGAAAACCGGACGGGATATTACAAAATCATAGACTATGAGGAGGAAAGGGCGTACCGTTGGTTGCCGAGCAACTAAAGGGAAGGCCTGAAGGTATTTTATTTCCATTTACTGAAGTGGCATTTCTCTTTGCAGTACTGCATTTCTACGCAAGTCCAGAGTTAAAAGGCATGGAAATGATATAGTCACATTTAGTTCAAAGGGAGATTACTATAAATGAGCTAAGGAACAACAGTGTGCACGTGCATACCTTTCCAAGTTTACAGCTTCTAAAACTAAACTGGCAGATCATATTTTAAGCTACACAGCAACTTAGCCTTTCCAAGTCACTAAAAAAAAAAATCCGAGGGCAGGAGCCAGTGTATTGAAAGCTCATGAGGATGTTCCAAGAGCATAGACAGATGCTTTGTAATTTTTTTACTTATTTCTATTTCTCTGTATTAGTTTACCATGGCAGTGCATGCTAAACCTCTGCCAGTACCTAATAATTAACTATTAATAATTAACTATTTCAAAGCAATAAATTTGAAAGAACATATTCTCTGCTCAAAATAATTTGGAATTGAAAATTGAATAGCCAATATATACCTTTACACAGCTTTATGTGCACTTATATAAGAACAGTATGTACAATAGTATCCACTATACCTCAAAAAGGATATTGTAAGTTAGGATAGCAAAATGTGGTTAAGATAGTCTATGTGTTGCTAGGAGTTGACAGTAATTTGATGGCAAATACCTATAATAAAAAAACAGAGTGACTCAAGTTCAGGTTTACAGCCAACTTTGGAAACTGAGTGGGTGACTTTAAGCCATACCATCTTTCCTTGCAAGGTTGTTGGGAAAACTGGAGGAAAGAATGTTATGCACACTGCCCTGAGCTGAGTGAAAGGCACAATAAAAGTTTAATGAATAAATAAAAAACCTGCCTTGAAGAAAAAGACATTTGAGCATTTTTAATTTATAAAGAGAATGACTGGGAATAGACAGATGCAGAACACCATACATAAAAAAATAAGTTTGATAAGGGGAACAGGCTGGTTAGTGAACAATTGAGGGCTGATTAAAATGATTTCCCATAGCATACACAACTGTGTAACAAGTTGTAGCAATTGAACCAGTTTTGATGGTTTTAAATAGGGATTACACAAATTCATGATATTGTTATTGCCTATTAACAAAAACGACAATCACCAGTTGGGGATAGTGTATATCTCAGTAGCAGCAACTGGAGAATTAGAAGCTTAATAGGAAAGTTCTGATTTGCTAACCACTTGCTTAGATCACACCTCAGATAAACACATACAACAAGGTTTGTGTAGTTTTCAGCCAATTCCAGTACTCTGACTATATTCAGGCTGTGTACGAACCAGCTGTTAATTCGTGCATACGTTTTCTGCTCCATTACCAATGTTCAAAATTGTCAAGGGCTGTTTATTCCTGATTCAGAAACTACAGAATCAGAGGGAGCTTTTCTAACTACGTATATGATTAGAGGCATTTCAATGATCAATCTGAAAAGAGCTAAGCCGCAGCCGAGTTCTCCTTTTGCTTCACGCAGCGATAAGAAAGAAGGTTTTCACGCACTGGCTCCGCAGACAACTGGAAATACAGAACAGCTCTACACTGGCTGGTTCTGGGTCACGCAAGCACTGTGCACTCAAAATCAACTTGCGCAGGAATATCTTGTTCCATTTAATGTAGCCATAAAAGCCCCGCCTTGTCGCCTTGTCCCAGTGAAGCTCGGCGGACGGCTGGAGTGAATGAGAACCGCGGGGGCCGCCTTGCAGCACTCTGTCCAATCCACAGGCGTCTTAGCGCGCAGGTCGGGTTCTTATTGGCTCGACTAAATCCTGCCTCTGCCGTCCCTGGAGTGCCTCCGTCGCAGCGCGGCTTGTTGTCTATTTAGTTGGCTTCAGGTTCTGAGCTGTGGTGGAGGTTGGCCTGCGCCCGGTGAGTTCTACTTTTTGGGCTGCCGGGTTGTTGTGGCTGGGGAGAGCGGTCTCCCGTCGCCGGGGTGATAGCCATGTACGCCGAGGCCTTGTCACGCTGGGTTGGTGGACCATGAGGGGCCAGCTCCCCCGCTTGCCCCTCGCGGGGGACGGGCCTGCGTAACTCTGGCGGAAGCGCGTCGTCCTGGTGCTGCGTCACGAACGGCCTCCGCCCCGCTTGTCCTCCTATTGAGAGAAGTCTCTCCTCTTTCAACGTGTAGGTCGCCTCCTCCGTTGCGGCGATGTCTGAGGGCGAAACCAAACAACTATCCGGCAATATCTGTGCCGACCAGAAACCTGAGGCTGCGTCTGCGGGATCCGGCATGACCTCACTTTCGCCGCCGTTAGCGGCGGCAACTCAAGAGGAGGAGGAAGAGGAGGAAGAAGAGGACGAGTCCGAGGACGAGTCCGAAATCTTGGAGGAATCACCTTGCGGGCGTTGGCAGAAGAGGCGGGAAGAGGTAGGCGACGAAGCCTGTGCGTTCCCACGATCTCTGTGACTCGAAGCTGGCGCCTTTCGGAGGCCTGCACAAAAGAGAGTAATCCTGAGGAGGCTAGAAAAAGTTCCTTTCCGAGAGCTCTTAAGTGTGTTGAGTGTCTCGTTCTAGTATTCATGCTGCAGAGGTTTGTAGATAAACAGCTGTCAAAGACATAAGACTGTGAGAGGGTCAATTGGATTAGATAGCGTGGAAGTTGAGATTTGACTAGTCATAATAAGCAGTTTTTAGGACTTAAAACAGTTGCCCCTTTCTCCGTAGATCTGGAAGAAACAAGACATGAGAAGTAGTAGTTATTTTAATACAGTGGTAGGTTTGGGGTGAAGTGCCTCTGTTTATAATCAAGGTATTCCAGACAGCATTTCAATCTGACATTTTCTTGTTTAGAAATCTGCGGCTTTGCCTTTATGTAAACAGTTGTATGTCTAGCTTGCTGTGAATTGTCTGTTTTGATTGCTAGGATTTCTATTTCCAATCTTATAATAGATAATGGGACTTGAATTAAGGAATTTGACTTTTAAACAACTCTTTTTGCTGAAAGACAGAGGAAAAACAGTTTTTTAAAGTCATCCTGAGAAATTTATTGAGATTTTATTACTTATTTTGCTATTTGTGTTTCACTGCTCTCCCCAGATGATTTTCAGAGTGACTACCAATATAAAATAAACAAAATTTCAAAATCAAAGTCATAGAAGCTGATTTTAATGCCAGGATTGTAGACGAGACTGGGGAGTCTTGACTGAAACTTGTTTGGGGTGTGTTTTGAGGAAGTGTCCTCTTCCTTGATATTTTAAATATAGGATAATGTCTCTTGCTATTAAGGAAGTTATTTGTAAGAAGATATTTTGGATAATTTTATGTGATTGAATTTGGCAGATTAACAACATAGCTTTATGTTGAAGATTTTAGAACTGACAGCCTTTGGAATAGAGGCTGTTTTCCTTTTTGTAAAGACATGTGTTGTTCTGGATGTTTTGAAGTCAAGATTGTTGGAATAATGGCTTATTTGGCTGGGGAAAAAACTAGCCATCATTGCTGATTTTGAGAAATCAATTTAGCTGGGCTAGCAAAGATAATTACAGTATTATCCTGTTCTGTATATTGAAAGTCTTGATTTACACAACACTTTCTTACACAAAACCCTGATGGTTTATTTTCAATAAGCTGTCATGAAGTTTGATTGCTACTAAACTGTATTTCAAAAAATTTGCTATGCGGGACTCTTGGCTAATTTTGAATTCTCTTATTCTGCTTTTTAATTCATCCTTTAAATATGAAAGTACATAAAACTTTAGATATACAAGATAGTTTTCCTTTGCTGAATACAGAAATGCCGTTCTCCTCATGCCGTTCTCCTAAGAATATCACTGTTACTAAAATAAAGAAAAACACAGTCTGTGCTATAGAGTTCTCTGTCAAAAAATGTACTGATGGTGACTACTGATGAACTAAGTCTGAGCTGGATGGCCTTTTGTTGATTAGGGATTTAACATTTGGAAGAAGCTGAGGATTTGAGAGTAGTTAGGAGCACAATTTAATTAGTTTTGGAAGGAGTTTTCCTTTTTATAAATATTTGTACAGTACACTGTTTTTCATTTTGAAACAGAAAATTATGCTTTGAATTTGCAGTAGTCACCACACAGGAACCTGAAGGCCAGAAAAAGAAGGCTGTTCTGTAGATCTCTTGCCTCTGGTTTAGGCTGTTAATAGCTACTAGCCATTATGGATGCATATACCTCTATTATGAAGCAGTATGTTTGACAATATCAGTTGTTGAGAACAGGACAGCTTTTATATTTTCCTACTTGCAAACTATACATAGACATTGATTTACTGTAGCAGCTTTATTAAGATTTTCAATTTCTTTTCATCTTAAAAAGTTAAGGCTAATATGTTTTTTTAATAACATTGCGGGTGGGGGGGGGGAAATCAAGTTAGTTTCCTTTACAGATTCTCTTTGTAGACTTTGTTTAACACACTTTATCTCCTCCCCTCTTGTGGTCAATAACTGAGTGTAGTGTTTTGTCCGGTCTTGAGCTTTGGTTGTTTTGTCTTTTGCTTTGCTTTCTTCCTCCTTTCTTAAAATAGATTTGCTAAAGCCTGTGAACCATGCCACCAGCACTTTAGCTGGATGATTTTTATTGCTGGTTTTCTCTACACATTTTTGACTCAGCACTTTAACATCCTCTGCTGTTTGCAGCTGTTCTCTAGGTCATGCCATTGTTTGATGTTCTCACTTTTTCCCATCCCCCCCTGTCTTTCAGGAGCAGTGTATACTTTTAAATATGTCTGAGATCATAATGAGGTTGACTCTCAACTTGGTAATGATGTGTGAGTCACTGATTTGGCCCACAAGATGATTTGGCTATACATCAAGAAAAGGGAGGAGCAACAAAGAGACATATGATTCCCCAACATGGGTGGTTGTGTAATTTTTGGTATACTGCTTTACCTAAGACTTCAGGAATCACTGGGCTAGAATATTTATGCTGGGGAATGTTTTTTTTTAAAAAAATGACCTTTTTTTAAGTTCTAGAAGCTGTAGGGACTGTGTTGGTGATATAATTGGAGGGATCAGAGCAATTTTTTCATCTCTTGTGCTCCTGCCCCTTCATACAACACATGCATTCTTACTTGAAATTTAATATATATACATTAGTACTCGTTTTGCTATACTGTGATTTTGGTTTTATCCACTGAATTTTGGCAGCTTCAACTTGTGGGGTTAAGACTGCAGGCTGCCTTCTCTTGGATTTAACAGTTATAAAGAAAGCAGGAATTTGAAAAAACAACTGGTACTGGAAGCTTGAACTTAGAAGAGTTGAGAATTATAAGCCTTAAGAATAGGTGCTGCATTGAGCTGTAGAATTAAAGTCAGGGGAATGCTAAAAATAAAGAGTGGCTCAGAAACACAATAATGCTAAGAAGACAATTGTCATAGGCACAGTTCTCCTGCAGCTCTGTGATGACAGAATTTACTTTCATTTTCAGAAAATCACAAGCATGGATGGGATAAGAGACTCCCAGAGTTGATAAGAAATGTAGAGGTCTTTATATTGAAGTGAAATGCAGGCGATTTAGGATCAAAACTAGAAATATTGTAAGGTTCAACTATCGATTACTGAATAAATTACAGTTGGCTGGGTATGTACAATATATATAGTGTGGTTTAATCAAAATGCTCTAGTTCACAGAGCATCTTGAGTTCTAATCTCTTTATCTTAAGGTATTATATGAGCCTAATAATTGAATTCAAATATGGAAATAGCTACCAGTTTACAGATTCAAAGGAGGAATTGGACAAATTCATGACGGATCAAGGCATGATGGGCAGTGGAAATCAATAATTTATGGATCTGTCCGCGATGACGCATGGAAGATTGTGATGTGGAATGTAAGAGAAGTTGGTAAAGAATATGAAAAAAAAACTTTGATACTTTAAAAAAGAGAGCATGTAGTTCAGTCACCTGTTTAATACAGGAATCCCTGACAGATAATCTGACACAGTGGTTCTCAACCTGTGGGTTGGACCCCATTTGGGGTCGAACGACCATTTCATGGGGGTCGCCAAACAAGGCTGTCAACCATTTTTTCCCCCTTTTCTTTGGCCATGCCCCTGGCACCCAGTGATGTATAAGTGGTTGGGGGTCACCACAACATGGGGAACTGTATTATGGGGTCGCGGCATTAGAAAGGTTGAGAACCACTGATCTGACAGATATAGCATGTGTCTAGCAAAGGTGAATCTGAAGGCAATCTGTTGAATTACTGAACAGCTTTTCATTTTAGGACATATTCTTGATCTTCAGTTAAAATGTGTTTTCTTGTAATTTAAACCCATTTTTAAAAAACCCATCTAAAACTGTTCAGCCTGATGCAGATAGCAAACTAGAAATATACAGGTAGACCTTGCTTAACAATTGCTGTATCTAGTAATTCTTTGAAGTTATGAGGGTGCTAAAAAGTAATTTTATGACCAGTCCTTGCATTTATAACCATCATAGCATCCCTGGGGTCACATGATTGACATTTGGGAGCTTCACAACCAGTTTCCGACAAAAGTCGCAACAGTAAAATTGCAGGTTACAGTCATGTGATGTTTTGCTTAACGACCAACAGTGACTCTGTTTGACCGCTATGAATGGGAGGTGACATAAGTCTGTTGTCATATGATGTTTCACTTAGCGACTATGTAGCTTAGTAATGAAATTCTCAGTTCCAATTGTGATAACTGAGGACTACCTGTCAAAATAAAATAGGTTTCTAGAAAATACTTTTAACCTTAGTCTGAAGTAATATTTAAAACTGTGAGAATAAATTTGTAACCAGAATTACAACGAGTTAAAGTCTCTTTTACATTTTCTTTCTATATCTCTCCTTTGCAGGCTTTTATGTCTTTTCTCACATAAACCCAAACTCCTTACCTCCCATTTTTTCCCCATAGTTACTCATAAGATATAAGTGTGATTCTCCCCACTTTCTTATATGGAAGTGAGAGTTTGATATATTAAAGAAACGTAACAGTAAGTTGAATGTAGCTGGAATTGGGTACTAAAGAAGTTATATGGTGAAACAAGAAATGGAACCAAGGACAAATAGGTATTGAATTAATGTGAACTTTGAAGTGAATGACCAGTATGAAAAGACATTGAGATGAGGATGAGTGGGGATCAGATTGCAGAAAATATGAAGGATGAGTGAATGGATTAAATTGATGAGGAAGGTTGATAGATGATTTGTTGGACAGTGTTGATGAGATTCTGAAAAAGAGAAAAATGGATAGGTGAAATAACACAGACACTGTATGATGTATAGACATGGTAGAAGCAAGAATGGTTTGCATAGATATAAAATTATGGAAAAATATAGTAAATTGTGTTAGTTTAAATTCTAGATATGCTGGCTTTTGTGGTTTCTCATCTTTTTTCTTTAATTTATTTGGCAAACTGTATATTCCATTCTGATCCTGAAAGGAAATAGTGTGATGTATATGTTTGTAGTGGCTAATCTTGATGGTTGAACCAGTCATCCATCCATCCACCCATCTTTAGTGTTTCTAGACCCCCATTTTCCTCAAGGAGGGACTCAAATTCTAGTTGCGAAGGAGCAATAGAGGAGTACATTTACCATGTCCTGCTTTTTATATTACTGGATTCACCTGTGTATTTGTTTTGAGAGATTTGTCTAGATAGTCTTTGGTCGGATCCAGCAGGATTCATCTTACATTTTAAGGTCAAATAGCAATAAGGTGCAGATACAGCATCCTTTCTAGTCTGCCTGAAATTTGGCTTTTATTTCTGTCCATCTCCATCTAGGTTAATCAGCGCAATGTTCCTGGAATTGATAGTGCCTATTTGGCAATGGATACAGAAGAAGGAGTGGAGGTGGTTTGGAATGAAGTCCAGTTCTCAGAACGCAAGAATTTTAAGCTTCAAGAGGTGGGTGAAACTGGAATGAAGAGTTGTGAAAAGGCTGACAAGATATCTATTGTATGAGGGCTCAAATATTCAGTGACTATGAATAGGTTTCTTGAAATCGAGTAGACAAGGAGAATGAAGGTGTTACTGGATTATTTTATGTTGTTGACTAGTCTGCTTGCTTGACTTAAATTTAACTAATGCCTCCATTTTGAAGTCTGAGAGTAAATATGGATGAAGAGCTATGTGTGAAGTAGATGAGTCCAGTTTCGGGCTGTGTTGAAACTCTTGTAATGATATTTTCTTTTTCTTAAGTTGTTTACACTATTTTGTTTTGCTGCTGCTGCAGGAAAAGGTCAAAGCTGTCTTTGACAACCTGATCCAGTTGGAGCACCTGAACATTGTGAAATTCCATAAATATTGGGCAGATGTGAAAGAAAATAAAGCTAGGGTAAGTAGAATTTTATGTGATTCCCTCCATCATTTATCTTAATGTTAAAAATATGAAGCACCAGCAGTTGATAACTTCCACCCTATTACTAGGTTATCTTCATTACGGAATACATGTCCTCTGGTAGCCTGAAACAATTTTTGAAGAAAACAAAGAAGAACCACAAGACTATGAATGAAAAGGTAACTTCTTCCCAACCTCGTATTCTCTTTCCAATTCTCTAAATTGTATTTGTGCTATTCTTTTTTTTTTTTTGGTGTCTGTAGCTCTTGGCCAAGGTACTATTGCTTCCCTTCCTACCAAAGACTGTGAGTAAAAATTGGCTATCTAATTCATAACCATTTAGTAAGTCTGTTTCCTGCTGAGAGCCCTGAGTTAATCCATATAATTCTGAAGCAAAGTAAAAGGAAACCAGCTGTGATATGAAAGTCAAAAGTGTCCAGAAGTAAGGAGAATAGAAATGGCATTATAGAGACACCAAGTGAGGACTTAGTTTTGCAAGAGATGCTGAAAGCTTTTTTTGGTGATATTTCATTTGTATTGCAGGCCTGGAAGCGTTGGTGCACCCAAATCCTTTCTGCCCTCAGGTATGTGCCTTTACATATATGAAAGGGAGGACAGCCTTGAGCGCAATGTTGGTGTACAAATGATTATACTAGTTCAGAGGCTCGGGAATATCTGTATATTTTTTTATTTCTTGGATAAGGTTTTTGGAGAAAGTAAAGGGAAGAATCTTGCTTCTTTTATTGCTTACATTGGTCTTCAGAGCTTCTAGGGCAGAGGTCCCCAACATTTTGGGCACCAGGGACCAGTTCCGTGGAGAAAGGTTTTTCCATGGATCAGAAAGTGTGTGGTTTTGTGTGCTGCCTGTATCCCATGCATGGGACTTAGCTTGTTTGTGCGGACTGGTTGCTGGCATGCCATGGCCCGGTACCAGTCCATGGACTGAGGGTTGGGGACCCGTGCTCTAGGAGTACTATGTGATATTGTTTCAGCAGCACAGTAAAGTTTCCTTAGAAAGCTCAAAAAAAGACTTGGATTCCAAACAAACTTTACATTCTTTGGATACCAGAAATAATAGAAATGAGGAAGACATTGTTTTTCTGTTAATAAAAAATACATTTTCCTTTTACCTGCAAACTGATTTTGCAAACTATCCATTTGTATATCTAGTAACTGATTCAGTCTCTATTGTGTTACTATTCCAGTTACCTTCACTCCTGTGATCCTCCCATCATTCATGGAAACTTGACTTGTGATACCATCTTCATCCAGCACAATGGGCTTATTAAGATTGGATCAGGTGAGGCTGTTGTGGAATTAATTTGTGATTTAATGTATGCTATGATTCCATTCTTGGCTTGCTTTGTTCCCTGACATTGGTTCAAGCTTTATATCAGTCCAAGGAAAGCTCTAGGGCTTGGAGCATATATTGTTATGTCTATATAATAGGACTCTGTTGCAACTGGTGCCTCTACCTTATATCTGTTGTTGTTGACCTCTGGAAACTTCCTGGACCTTTTGCCACTTGCAGGCTGCTCTATCCTCTTTTTGTAGCATCTTTTGCAGGCAGAAAACTTTGCTGCCAACTCATTTTTATCTCTGTCATTCAAACATTTGGAACCTTGGGGGGTGCTACTTGTTCATGGCTCTTCCAAGCCAATCTTACACTTGAACACAAAGAACCATCAAAATTGTAGGGAAAGGCAGGATGGGTAGAGCTCTTTGTTTCGCTTCTTCGCTTCAGTTTCTTGTGTCCAGTCTTAGTGAGCTGTTAGTAAACAAGTAAAGTATCGCTGTTGGCTGCTCCATTTTTCACAAATATATGCTTAGCATTTCATCTCATTTTTTTGTGCTGCTTATGTCCTATTCAATGAATTATGCCAGTTTAATTCATGAAAATTATCAAGATTACTTTTGAAGCTTATGGGACAGTGTTAATCATGATTTAACCATGGTCATCTTAACTCCATATATTGATATAAACATAGTTTCTGGATAGTCAATTGTTGAAAAAAAAACTCATATAAACAGAATAGTTGTGTTGGATCAAATCAAAGATCTCAGAAACCCATAATTCTGTTTCCCCAATAGCCAACTTAGATGCCAGAGGGAAGCCCATAAGCTGGTTAATATGAGCATTCTGCTTCTCATATTACTTTATTTATTACATTTTTATCCTGCCACACTCCCATTGAACTCTCAGAAGTTAGTGATTTATATACATCATGTTTTTTATGTAAATATACTGCCCCAGTATCCAAAATAACACAGTGCTGTCATATTTAGTAGCTGTAAAAAACTTTATTTCCCATATATTTATCTGATTACTTTTAATGTCATAAGAATTGGTAGTCATCACTACTTCAGCATCTTTTCAAATTGCAATTTCCAAGTATTTGGAGGGAGGCATAATGACTACATTGGAATCAGATTCCTCATAATATAAAGTATTAATAAAAGCAATATTTTATGGTGTGTCTTTGGGTTTAATGTAGTATGGATCAAGTAAATAAAACTACTATGAGAACTCTTCATAGCTTGTAAAATCCAAGTAAACAGGAAATATCCTTAAGAATATGATATATATGTGTATATGTATGTATATGTATATGTATGTGTGTGTATGTATATATATATATATATATATATATATATATATATATATAACATGATCGCCAACGTCCGATAACGGATATAGCACAAGAAGAAGAAGACACATACACACACATACACACACTCCGTGAATCAAGCATCAGTAGTAAAATAAACATGGTTATTGAAATAGGTTGTTGCATTAAGTGATCTTACTGTCAGTCTTAATTACTTGAGATGTATCTTCTTGAAAGAAGTGGACATTGGAACTCAAGCCTCCAAATAACAAAAATGTGGTTCCAAGTGATAGGTAATGGAAGAGTTCTTCACAAAAATAAAGATTTCTAATTCTGAAATTAGTCTTCTTGCTTTGGATAAAATTAGTTGAGAAAAAGACTTTGTAATTGTTTCCTTATCTTTTGATGTCTTTGAAGGTAGAGAATAGAGGAAGAATCTTGACTGGACTAAAAAGTTATAGATTCTGCAGTTGGATTCACAAACATCTATCACTGCATCTGAAGGACATTTTTGTAGTAATTATCTTCTGTTAGGATTACTACATAATTAAACCCAAGAAGTAAACATAAAACAAACCTAGCTCTCAACACTGTTTGAATAGAGGGTCATGTTAACTGGCCATCTCTGACAGAAGAACAAAACTAGAACACTAGCCACTATGTGTAGTTTGAGTTCTGTTTTGATGGACAGTTCTGTTGGTCTAAGGAAAGGGTGCATGGCTTAGACTCTGCATGTTCTGAACAGGTAATTCACATGAGTTGAGAATAAGCAGACTGAGCAGAGTTTGCTTTGCAGTGACTAATGGCAGCTTAAATAAATTGAAATACAACAATCCGAAGTAGCTTTGTGATTGCGGTGCTTCCAGGACTGCTTTTCCCTGGGAGTAAGGAACAATTGTTTGTCTTTATCCCAGAACTCTTGTGCGAAATTAGAATTCTTGAAATAGCTCTTTGAAATAAGCACTTGCTTTTTCCTTTCTTTCCTCAGCATCCGAGTGACGATTATTAAGAATACTATAATGATGAAAAATTGGCCTGCAGATAGATGCAATTGAAATCTCATTAAATATTTTGAAAGGGAATTTAGTGCACTCACCCTTTTCCCTGTTTGATGGAATGTTGAGAAGGAAAGCAAACAGAAACATGTCAAATTCAGAAACGAAGACTTCCTGCAAGAACTCCATTGAAGAATAAGAAGGAGAAGGAAGCTAGGGTGCTAAATGGCAGGAAAGATAACCTGTCCTGCATGGAACTGGCTTAGGAGTTATCTAAAGGATTAACCACTAACCACTATATAGTCAACCTTGGCTCCTTTATGACTCGTGGACTTCAACTCCCAGAATTCCTGAGCCAGCAATTAGGGTCTAATTCCATCTTTGTCCTGATTTATTAATCACTATTCCATTTTTTCTCTTCTCTTTAAAACAATCTTTGGGGTTTTTTTGGATATTTTTTGGGAGTTCTTCCAATCTTCATTCTGCTTTTTCTTTCTCCTCCCCATTCTATCACCATAGTTCAGGCAAATGCATCCCAGTAGGTTTCCAAGCTCAGCAACACCAGAGGCTACCATTGAGGCTCCCAGAGACAGAGGTACAGAGGTGGTGAGGTTGGAGAAGTTGAACAACGGGATAAGCTCTCAGCAAGGTGCATTCCAAAAGAGAGGGAGAAGGAGAGCTGCAACTTAGAAAGTCTGTGATAGGGATTTACCAGGTAGAGAGTAGCAATTCACTGAATATTTCTTCCCTTGGGAATAGTTGGAAGGATACTAAAATATTTAAAAATCCATATTTTTGAAAATTGAAGGGCTTGGAGATAGACGAACAACATTTTTTTTCTAACCAATCACCTGGAGATGTTGTATATACTGTGTGAATGAAATGCAAGAAAGGCTTTCTGTTTTCAGGCAGATCCTCCATCTGAACCTTTTCTCTTTTCCTCCTCCAAGGAAAGGCACGTGGCCATCCAACAGCAAGTCAAGAGAAAGAGTGGGGTATTGGTAGAGGGTGGAAAGGTGGCTCTGGACTAAGAAGTGGATTCTGAGAAGTAGAAGATAATAATTTGCAGTTGATGGATGGGCCAAATATAGGTGTTACATTTGGTTCCTGCCTCACTTCCCATGGAGACTCTATACCCAAAACAGCTGAGCACTGACCTCTTTTGTGGATTAGAGGTTCAGGATAAAAACCCCTTCACTCTGTCCTGATGAGACATGCCCAGTCTGTCCCATTGCTCCGGGAGGTACAGTGGCTTAGCTGAAAGGCTGGCTCTTCCATCAATTCTTGGTTTTATTTCCTGCTGATGGGCTGCCTCTCTCTCTCTTTTTCTTTCTCTTTTGCCAACAGTCTTTCATAGGATTTTTGCTAATGGTGAGCAAATCTCTCTGCTCTGTGATGTGACTGTGACTTTCTAAAAATAATAATATATATATACACACATAAATGGCATCATATATATATATATATATATATATATATTTGTATTATATACAAAAGCTCCTTTTTCCCTTCAGTGTCCCTTGCTTATGACTCTAGTATAGTTGCGCCTGCCCTTGGCTCTTGGTTGGAGAGGAGTCCCGCCCTTCTCTCTCATTTCTGGTCTGTGTTTTCTCTGCTGTCCTGCTGCATGCTTCCTCCTGCATGTGAAGTGCTCTTGTCTGAGGAGCGGCTGCTGTCTCCTTCCCTTGCGGCCATGATTGGGATTTTGCTTGCTGCTTGCTTCTGGCCTGAGCTGTGGCCAACTATTTATAGGGATAATGGGTGAGACTTAAAACAGTGCTAAAATGTTGTCCAGTTTAGGGACATGTTGAATTCTTTTTGGGGTTTCTAGTTCTAGGCTCTGCTTTGAATGTTCTTATTCTGGAACTATTCAATTCCCTTCAACATAGAAGGATCTCTTGGGGATTTGCTTGCCTTCCCTATCCCAGTGCCTAGGTATAATAGGTAAGCAAGCCTTTCTGTTTCTGGCAGAGTAGAGTGATTAAAACTGAACAATGAGATAGGTTGCCAGGAAAGAGCATAGAGAAGATGAACCTCCAGTGAAACATTAGCCAAGTCTGGCAAACAGAGGCCTTGGGGACTGATTAAAAGAAAGAAAAAGCTTGGATGGATGAGAGTTGCTGATGATGAGTCTGTGTCTTTGAGTTTCCAACTGAGAGAAACCTTTGGGATAGTTGTATGTCCAACAATGAGGACTGAAAAGAACCTTGTACCAAGTCCATGTGGTCCTTGGTCTAGAAAGTTCAGAAGATTGCAAAAAACAGATGCCATACTCACTGAGAGGAGAGTGATGGCTGTCAAATGGAGGAGAGTGCTATTCTTTTGCTTAATCTGTGCATATGATAGAAAGAAGATGGAATTTCTTCCATTTCATGATTTGGGTTTACACACCATGCTAAGCAATAATATAGTTTTAGACTTCCTGAATCCAGTTATAACTTAATCCCCAATCGGTAGCAAAATGAGATATGACGAACCTAGCCTACATTTATTAAAATAAGTAGCATATTTACAATACATTATTATATTTTTTGTTTATTTTATTAAACAAATGTACATGGCTACCCAACTCACATGCAGTGACTTTGGGTGGCTTACAACATTAAAAATCCACAATCGTTTATTAGTCCTTAAGCAGTGTTAAGAGATGGAGTTTACTAGTGAGTTCATCCAGAAGTAGAGAGTGTATACATTAGTTTTAGTCTGTTGAGAACATAGTTACATTGTACATATTTAACTGTTGACATACTGAAAAACACCAGTGAAGTTTTATTAATTTAAAACCATGTGTAAACCTTTGCATTAATGAACACAAAGATAGTTATGAAAGAAACTTAATAATTTTATAGAAAGAAATTGAAACAAGTATAATCAAATTAATAATAATCAAATATAGTATTAATGAAGAACTGTTAGTGTACATGAAAGTTGATACCAAAATAATTGTAATGCCCTAGAGTACTACTAGTTTAACAAGTAGAATCCACTGGAAGTGGGTGACTAATAAATTTAAATTATTAGCAAGCAATTAAATAATATAATAAATAATTGAAATAATATGGGGAAATGAGTTGTTATTTACATCCATCTCTATTTTGACAAACTATAGTACATACATGGAATGCATATGTACATAATGGAATGCATATTTCTAATAATGATCACTGGTAGCTACAGCTACAGTTTCTCAGTCTGAAAAAAAGTTTTATTTAATGAGGATCTAAAAAGGGTTGCCTGGTAAAAAACTTTTTCAACTTATTTTCAAGCACTTACCAGATTTTTGGTTGATGCAGAAAGTATATGGGTGTAAGAAAAGCAACATATTGCAGGAAAATTTCAAACTGGAGCAAATATCTGGAAATACTTTTACTCTATTGGAGAGTAGACTTTGACATTAAGCGAAAAATAATATATTTTTAATTTGTTTGACTGCAGTAGTGGTGCTACTAGATCAATTTTATTCTGGACTGTGGTTTAAAGTATACAGGCTTAGTCTGGTCCTGCCAGTATTTTTTCTGTTGTGTGGGGTCCTTGGTGCTCTCTGAACTTGATATATTAGCAGGTTACATATACATAAACAACATCTACATACCATTCAAAAGAGACAATCAAAAAGTAAAAAGGAAACAACCCCAAAACATCTCTTGACCAACAATCAACACCCAGATGAATAGAGATAACACCAAGATTAACGCTAGATCAAAAATCAAGAAACTACCAATTCAGACAAAAATGCTAACAATAAACAGAGCCTAATCAAGAAACCACCAAGACCGTTCCTTCCAACACTGACAGGGCAAGCCCCTAGTATATAAAATGAGAGCAAACCCCACTCCCTTGACGTACTGGTGATGTTACCTAGTTTGATAATTAAATGTCTGCAAGAAAACTACAATCTCAGAGCACTAAGGAGTCCAAGTTCACAGTTCAGCCCTAAGCTACAAATATTCTCTTCCATCAGAAGTAGTTGTCCTTTCTCATTAGTCTTAAAGCATAATCTGCTGCTTGACTTCCACATGCTCATTTTCTGTCATGTCAAGAGGGTCTAACAGCTTTTGGGAACTGTTATTTTCAGTCTATTCCTCTCACTTATCAAAAGGTGAGGCATGAACGAAAATATCTAACACTGCTTAAATAGAGTGAATTAGCTTGCACCATCCTCAAGCCTAAGACTGGATTTGTACAATACATGTATCTTAGTTAATAAATTAACCCATTTCCTGGATCTGTGTAACATAAACAACAGCAAACTAAATACACAGGCTAACTTGGCAGAATATCTAAGCCACATATACAAAAGCAAAAAAAAGTGAAGCTTTGCACATTGTGTAAAGGCATCCACTAGGGTCTTTAACTGAGCTAATTAATATTGGAAGAACATAGCACACAAACAGTTGTGTATGGATAATATGGGGGCTTAGATTTTTTTTCTTTCTTTTTTTATGTCCACTGAAGTTATACCCTGTCCACAGTGGATCTTTATTGGTTTCCAAATTTTCTCAGGATGACTTTTGTATCTTGGCTAGAATAAGACTTGGTGTGCCAAGAGCTTCTTAAGAATTTGTGATAGTCATTCACTGACCACTTTGTTTTTCTTTATTTATTGGTCAATTTAGGGACTGTTTTAATAAGCAGGTTAAATATATTTTAAAAGAAATTATAAATGTCCAGGTGCTGCCAGAAGCATGGCTTTGTTTGCGGTATCAACTGAGAAAGTTGTGAAAAAGATAGGGGGTAAGTGTTGTTGAACAATTGGGCATGTTATTGGGGAGTTGCTTTCTTTGCATAAGACAGCAAGGTGATGGGTAAAGTATCAGCATTTTGGGATCTACTTTGAGCTTTGCCTGCATCTGTGCCTGCCTGGAAAAATAGTGGCTTGGTGTAACTATCCGAAATAAAATTGTTAGAGAGAATGGGCTCTTTTACTGTCATCAATGGAGAAAAGCTGCTCACCTATTCTAATAGTGTATGTGTGTGTGTGTGTACACATACGGAATCTACTTTCTTCTCATGTATGTTTCTTTAGAAAGATGAGATGATTGCTTTGCCTGGCTTTGAGTTGATGCAGAAAAGACCTGGGGTTTCTGGAAGAGAATGTAGGCATCCCTCTTTTTGCTTCTGAGTTCGCTTATGATGTGGTGCTGCCTGAAAGCTGGGGAGGCCGGACAAGAGCAGTGCTTCTTTGTTTGGGGTTCCTTGCAGAGATGAACTAGATGGAAGCTGCCTGAAGTCCCAAACACCAGAAAGGAAAGAGAGGCATGGACTCTGATTGCCTACCGTTCTCTTCTCTTATAGTTGCCCCAGATACCATCAACAATCATGTGAAGACCTGTCGTGAGGAGCAGAAGAACCTGCATTTCTTTGCTCCAGAGTATGGCGGTACGAATATGAGGGTATTGGGACCTGCAGTTCTATATGAACTGCAGCAGAAGTGTTCAGTATGTTCTCTCTGCCTTAGAGATAATTTCTGATTATTATTTTTTGTTCTAGAAGTTGCACATGTGACTACAGCAGTGGACATCTACTCCTTTGGAATGTGTGCATTAGAGGTAAGTTGAGGGCAATTAGTATATGAAGGCGTCCACCCCATTTGTACACAGGGCCAGGAAATCAATTCCATGTTAAGAGTACCTGGCAAATTGGACTGTGCTTTATCTTCCTTCTTACACAGGTAGTTCTTGGTTAACAACCATTCATTCGGTGATTGTTTGAAGTTACAGTGGTGCTGATTGGACTTATGCCCAGTCCTAGATGTTGCAACCGTCACAGCATCCCCTGTAGTTGTGTGATTGTAATTTGGGTGCTTGGCAGTTGCCTTGCAATTTAGACGGAGCATCCTGTGGTCATGCAGTCGCCATTTGCAACCTCCACTGCCAGCTTCCCACAAGCAAAGTCAATGGGGAAGCCGGCAAGAGGTTGCAGCTGGTGGTCCTGTGATGTTGCACCTAACACCTTGTGTGGGATTTCTTAATGACTACAGCTAGAGCTGCTGTTGTAAATTGGCACAGTCACATGGCATTGCAGATTACAACCCCGCTGCTTATTCCCAATTATTGTTGTTAAACTGAACTATCTGTACTTCAGTGAATCATTTACCTGAGCTTCTTCCGAATATTATCTTTTCTTGGGACTTATAGAATGTTTTAGCCCTCTTTGTGTAGGCAACTGTTCTGACATATTTCTGTCAAGGTCATCTCTGTCACTCAACACAGAAGATGAGGGGATAGTTTTTTGTTATAGCTTCAGGGTTTGGAGAACAGACCTAAAGAGGGTTCTGTTATTTTTTTCTCTTGTTCCCTTTCAATTAAGACTGTTTCTAAATTCCTTAGTATCCTGATATGCTCCTGTCTGAAGAAATAATGACTAATAAAATTAAATGATTGGAATGAAACCAATTTCTTTGTTGAAAGTAAATTTAATCTAGTGGAAAGATAAAAAAAATAGTTGTTTGTTTTGATTCACATATAGGGTGATGAGAAAGATTTTTCTGTCGTGGCTGATAAAATTTTCTGATAAATGGTGGACCTGTCTGTGGCGGTCTGAAGATATCGCCCGTTGACATCTGTTTCTATCCTGATAGATGGCAGTGCTGGAGATCCAGGGAAATGGTGAATCCTCCTATGTGCCACAAGAAGCTATTAACAATGCCATCCAATTGCTAGAGGATCCATTACAACGAGTAAGACTGTCCTCAATTCTTTTCCTTGCTTTCCTCTTCCATTCTTTTTCCCAGCTCTCATGACTACAGTAGCACAAAATTTGGCCTCCTTTTTGCTTTCTAGGAGTTCATTCAGAAGTGCCTGGAGCCACAACCTAGCAAACGACCCACAGCTCGTGAGCTTCTCTTCCATCAGGCTTTGTTTGAAGTACCCTCTCTGAAGCTTTTGGCAGCCCATTGCATTGTGGGCCATCAGCGTGAGTATAGCCAACTGAAGTCTGGGACTACTGCTAAGAGCAAAACCCTTCACTAGTGTGTAAAAATAATGTCTTTTATGAAATGTATTTGTAGCTCAGTAACTTAATACATTATAATATATCCAAAAGTACCCCAAAATAAAATTACAAAGCAGAAAAATTCAAAGGAGGTAGCCAAGATGAACAGAGAAGGTCAAAATAGCTTCCTTTGTATCTAAGCGAGATTGACCATCCTGAAATTTGGATGCTCTCACATGTCTTCTCCTAATGCCTCACTGTCTAATATTAGCATCCTACTTTCTCAAGATTCAGTTTCCATTATCATAAATGTGGAAGGTGTGTGGTTCAGAAATGTGAAAAACACATAAATGCGGGTGGACTTCAGTCCAATTCTCTTCCTTTTGAATAGTAGTAAAAAGCCCTAATAAACAAAGAAATATTAATACATTGCCTAAAATAATTTGCTTGGGGGGAGGAGAGAGACATTGTAGTTTATCCCTGGACTATCCAGTTGCGATTTCAGTTAAAATGATTAAATTAGCTAGGATAATGTCTATTACCTCAGTGAGATCAACCTCTTCCTAAGAATTTAAAATATCCTGATAAGAATATATATGCTACTACAAATGTGCAATTTTATAAATCTTCCTGTTGCAGTTGTCTACCCTGTCCTTTATTTTTTATTTGTTTGTTTGTATCCTGCCTTTATTATTTTTATAAACAAACTCAAGGTAGTGAACATATCCAACACAATGTCCTCCTCCTATTCCCCCCCTCCCACGACAACAACCCTATGAGTTGGGTTGGACTGAGAGAGAGAAAGATTAACCCAGTCATTCAGCTAGCTTTCATTTTTTTCTAAACTAAAAATAGTTTGTTTTTGTAGAAGGTTATATTGCTATCAGTGTTAATGCCCTTTTTTGGTACAAAATTAAAATATTTACAACCACTTAGGTTCCCTCAGTATATGTGTGAAGTTAGAATTCATTGTACCAACATTTAAAATTCTGCATCAGTTTGAATTTAACACGTTCATTCCCCGTGTGGAAATCTTTTTAAAACATAATTTTAAGTCTGTTTAAATTTTCACGATACTGAATAGTTAAATCTCCATTTACAAATCATTTTAATTCCATCATTTCATTTATGTTTTATTTCTTTTTAAAATTTCTGTGATACATGTACAGCATTCTGGATAGCCATGCTTCTCTCCCCTCCTCCCCCGTTTCTTCATGAGTCCTTTGTTTTATTTCTTAAATCTGCTTTTTTTAGTTTTTTTTAATTCTTCAGGGAAAAGTGGAAAACATGTTTAGGAAACCACTGGTTAAAACAGTGAGTTAGTGAAGGAAAAATAGGATAATGTGTACCTTTTATTTTGTGATAGACATGATCCCGGAGAATGCACTTGAAGAAATGACCAAGAACTTGGACATGAGCGCTGTACTGGCTGAAATCAACCATGCTGATCGTGATGGTGTCCGTATGATGTGAGTTTGAATAGTTGGGAACTGATGGGGGAGACAGCTTTGAGGTGGAGTTTAGGAACTGAGTGTTTCTCTGGTTCTATGCAATGAATTGAGGTCAGCAGAATATTACATGGAATGGGAAACAGTTGACAGCTGGCTCATTAAAGGGTGGATGTGAACTTATGCTATAAAGATTAAATTGGTGCTCTGCCTTGTCCTAGATTCTCACAGTCCCCAGCGCTGGAACTAGACAAGTTCTTGGAAGATGTGAGGTATGCTCCTTTCTCCTGTAAGGGCTCTCAATGGGATTCTGTTACTGAAGCTAGTGTCCTGGGCAAGCCAACCTGACCCTTTTTTTGTAGTTCACTGAATTAGGCGATACATAGAGTTGAGTTATTCCGTTTGTGATTCCACAGAAATGGAATCTATCCACTTACTGCCTTTGGCCTGCCCCGACCTCAGCAGCCACAGCAAGAGGTGGTGAAATCTCCCATTGCCCCCCCATCAGTAAAGACTCCAACACCAGAGCCAGCAGAAGTGGAGACTCGCAAAGTGAGTGGCTGGTCCCTAATCCCCGTCTCCTTGGCCAATAATAGCAAAGCCTCATCTTATCACACTTCTTTGTAATTTCCAGGTGCTGCTGATGCAATGCAACATTGAATCAGTGGAGGAGGGTGTGAAGCACCATGTATGTATCAGCAAGGCTGGGTGACTTATACCAATCTAGGACTTCCATTTGCCTACAGTGGCCTATTCCCTTTTGGGGGGAAATTGTACCCTAGTGTTGAAAAGCACATTAAGGCAAAAATGCAACTTTTTTTTTTTCTTCTATTCAGTTGACACTACTGCTGAAACTGGAAGACAAACTGAATCGGCACTTGAGCTGTGACCTGCTGCCCAGTAAGTCAATGTCCTTCTCTTCTTTTCTTTTTCATCTTACAGAAAACATACCAATTCTCTTATTTTCCTTCCTTAGGTGACAATATTCAAGAACTGGCCACTGAATTGGTTCAGTTAGGATTCATCAGTGAGGTAAGTTTCAGTCCTGTTCAAGACTTATTTTCTCTTTTTCTGGGGAACTTCATTAGGAGTATAGGGATAGGTCAGTGGTGGCGAACCTATGGCACGCGTGCCAGAGGCGGCACTCGGAGCCCTCTCTATGGGCACATGTGCTGTTGCCCCAGACTTGTCTCCCCCCGTGACCCCCTCCTCACCAGCAGCCCCCCCCGGAGGAGAGTTGCCCCCGAGCGTGACCCACACAAAGCAGCACAGCCAAGGACATGGCAGCCAGGCAGCATAGACAAGACTCTGCCCTCACGCTCCATTGTGCACAGTTGATGCTGTGGGGCGAGCAGAGGGCGTGGCCACCATGGTGCTGCTGGGCTGCCTGGGCGATCTGTGGCAGGCCCTGGAGGCGGTGAGTGGCTCTGCAGGCAGGCAGGGTGGGGCGGGGCAGGGGGTTGAGCAGGAGTGGGGCCAGTCTTTGGGCACTCGGTCTCTAAAAGGTTCGCCATCACTGGGATAGGTTATCTTACAGTGCTTTTTCCATTCTTTTTTAGGCTGATCAAAGCCGGCTTAGCTGTTTACTTGAAGAGGCGTTCAACAAATTCTTCTACTCGCGGAATGGGGCATTGGCAGCTGTCACTGTGTCATCATAATGACCATCTTGCTGCTAGCAGGTGTACCTGTTCTGCATCTGTGCAGGGTACTACTCTAAGCCGCTGCCACCACCGTTGCCAGCTTGGATGTGCCTCCTGCATGTGTTAGAGCCAGGTCCTGCAGACAATCGCTGCCAGTCTTAAAGGCAGGGGGGGCAAGGTGGGAGGGGAGGGCTGTGTGCCTTGTCAGTATTATTTTCCCTGTGGCCAATGGCCTTCCTTCCCTCTCCCTTTTTTTGGGCTCACATGCATGGAGTTTTCTTTTGCTTGAATTGTACAGGTTTTTTTTTTGCACAGCACAGATGTCTGTCTTATTATTTAAAAGGGTGGGGGGGATGGAGAAGTTAAGTTCTATCCCATTCCATGCTGGCCCTCCACATTACACATGCACTCTCTAGCCCCACAGTCATTGCCTTATCCCCTCCAGATGAACTCTTCTCCTTCCCACAGTTGCTTCGTGCACCAGCCTTGCTTCGAGTAGCCTTGGCTGCATCTGTTGTGTGGTGTGAGGGTTCCCTCTGGTCAATAGAGGAAGTAGATAGGTGAACTTCCAGTTCAGACAGCAGGTGGTAAAGGCAATGTTAAACCATCCTTTCCTTTAGGATATTATCTAATGCCTGCAAGCTTGGGGCCAGTTTATCAGAGAAAGTCAACCCTTCCTGTGCTGGAGCTGTTCCAAGTGTCATTTCTGTTCCTATTTTTAATAAATTGTTTTGTAAATAATTAACTGCAACCTGTTTGTGATTGGAATCTGGGAATCAGAATCACAGAGTTAAAAGGAGCCACTTAATCCAATCTCCTGCTCACTGGGAAAGGGCGTTAGTGATTGGTGTTGGGCTGTTTGTATTCCTGAAGTTTCTTGATCTCTGCTTTCATATTTTTAAAGATATTATCTCATCCGCTGACTGTATCCAGGTTGAATCTGAACCTAATTTTCTCTTCTGCTTATTCACCAAAAAATTGCTCACAATTTTAGCCAGCTTTTGCTTTAAAAAGACAAGAAAAATGCTCCCTTGGTTTCTAGGAACTATGTTCTATAGCAAATACTATTAGTTTCTGAGTTGTGCGAGTTCTCTGAGTTTGTTTTTATTTGTAGACATTTTATGTCTAGGTAACATCTGGAGAAGATCCTAGAACTAAGATATTATGTAAGTTGATATCTGAAGACTTTCCACTATTTAATTAATAATTCTATGTTGAACAGAAAAAAATCTTCCATACAGTGCTGAGATAATTGCTTTTACGAATGAAGGCAAATATATGTGTCCCAGAGTAATTGCAAGATCTAATCTGGGTCTGTCACTGGGACTAGAGGTTTAGTCTTCTGAGTTTTCAGACTCATCTTGGAGTCCATCCTCAGGGAACTTCTCTCTACCAGAATATGCTATTCTGTGCTTCCTATTTATGTGGTGCTTTCCTATTGGTTGATTGTTGTGTTGATGGCAGGCAATTGGCTGTTGTTTTCTTGTGCTGTCAAGTCGTTAGCTCCTAAGTACAGATAAGGCTTCCAAAGCCTGACTTAACAATAACAGATCAAGAAAATGTGTAGCTTCAGCTAGCCAGCTTACAGTTCTCTCATAGCTCGGAGGTTATTAAGATCTGAATAATGAGCAAGTTTGGACTCAACCCCAGCAACACTATGGGTATGTTACCAGCTTTAGTTCTGGATGGTGTTGCACTTCCCCAGAGGGAAAAAGTATGTATTCTGAAACTCGCTCCAGATTTGCATCTCTTAAGAAGCAAGTGGAAGTCATGGCCAGAAGGACCCTTATATCTTATGTACCAGTTATGTCTTTTTAGTTAGCTTCCCAGTGCAATTCATGATGCTGGTAGTTATCTATATAGCTTTGATTGATCAAATTATTTTTGACTCCTAATGACCACATATTCTCCCTCACAATCTATGCCAATTTTTTTCAGAACTCCCAAAGGTGCATTCATTAGTACTGTAACTGAGTCCATTGACTTTCCGCTGGTCATCATCTTCTCTTTCCTACCACCTTTCTCAGAGATAGAGCTTCTCCAGAGAGTTAGGTCTTTGTATAATGTGTCAAAAATAGAATAATTTATGTCTCAAGTGAGAACTCTGGGTTGATTTGATGATCCATTGGTTTGTTTTCTTGGCCACAATTTTCTCAGGAATCTTCTCTAACATCAAAGTTCAAAGTCTTCCTATCTTGCTTCAAAGTTCTGCTTCCAGTTCCACAAGGAATGGAACACAGGGAGTGACACGGAATACCATATCTTGTACAAGTTTGAGCTTTGTATATATGGACACATCACGGCTACATGGCTTAGGGCATGGATAGCTACAACACCATCTTTCTCCAACTGTACTTACCTATATTGTAAAATCTAGTAGGATTGGCATTCTACATGACCCATCAATAAAATAATGTCCATCTAATGGGAACCTCAAGAAATGTGTCTTCTCTGTGTTCTTCCTGCCATTTGGAACAGCATTTCCCTGATACCTGCATGGTCTCAATTTTTTTGTTTTTTAGGAAAGCTTTAAAAGCTTGTTTTTCCAACCAGCCTTGGGCCCGGGCAATTTGTGAAGTAGCATCAGAATGCTACTAGACTATCCCTGATAGTCTTGTTCTTTAATTTTTATTATTGGATCACCCTCCTTTAATTCCTTCATGGTATATATTATAGACTACATTACGGTTATTAGAGTTTTAATTATGGATGTTTCTGTTTTCAAGTCAAGGTAAAAGTCTCTGAATTGAACTCAGCTCCTGATGGCTTCATGAATTCATTCACTAATGCTTTCTTGAAGGATTGTTTTTTTTTTTTTAAATCCCAACTTAGCTTATAGCCTTGAAATGTCTTAGTGGCCTCCACTCCAAGTACCAAACAGGTTTGACCCTGCTTGGCTTTTAGAGAATATATAGAGTCTTTAAAATTGTCTTCCTCATCTAATGCCTTTAGATCCTTTGGAATAAAGCCACAAACTTCAACATATAGTTCACACTTGTCAAATGATTACAGATTGGAGGCAGCTGCCTATTGGCTCCATTTGAAATGTAATCCTGTGCCAAAGTGAGCTTTGTTCCAATGCAGCATGACCATTATAATCCAATTTTCTGCAGCATCCCCTTTCATACAGTTTATTTATTTATTTATGAGATTTATATACCGCTTTAAGTGCAAGCACTCTCTAAGCAGTGTACACCAGTAAGCAATGTATATATATATTTACATTGCCCCCAACAATCTGGGTCCTCATTTTACCTACCCCGGAAGGATGGAAGGCTGAGTCAACCTTGAGCCGGTGAGATTTGAACCGCTGACCTGCTGAACACAATCAGCTAAAGTGGCCTGCAGTACTGCACTCTAACTGCTGCGCCACCTCGGTTATCTTTTGTCATCTCCTTTGAGTTCCTGTCTCTAGAGTTGCAGGAGATTTGACATGGATTATAAATACCACATCCATTAAAGAAGCCAGACAATAGATTATATAAACAATATATTTAATATGGGAGAATAAATATCTAAAGGGGGTTGAAGACTTAACGAAATGCTGAGGTAGCTCACTGGAAGGAGAAGCTGGTACTGGGCAGCCCTCCACACCACTGGCTGATGAACTTGAGAACATCCTGGCAGGGGGGGCTGTGTGACATCTGCAAGGGAGGCATGAACAAAGCTAGGGCTGAGATCAAAGTTTACAGATTTAGGCTATAAGGCAAGCTTGCCTACTTTTCTTGCCCTATGCCCTTTTCTACTTATGATTGCTAGCTTGCTTTCTTATACCTTCATTCTCTTCCTCACCTTGACTGCCATCAAGAATTTGTTCCAGCTTTCCTTGTTTGCCTCTTTGCCAGGACACTTGAATTCCACTTTATTCCTTAGTACAGGATAGCCTGAGTGGGGAGAAGGAAAAGAAGACATATGGAAAGGGCATAAAGAGGACCTGGAACTTTAGCTCCACATATTGTAAACCTCAGCTGAAGGAGCAAGTTCCTGCCCAGTAAATAATTTCTCTCTTCAAATTTTGGCAAACACAAAATCTTTCTGTGTATTCTGTTGAACCTCAGAATAGCTTCTTGATTACACTAGAGATTAATTTGGACTATTTTAAATATTGAATGCCTTAGTGCTGTATGGATAGTTCTCGACTACAATTGAGCCCAAAATTCCCATTGCTAAACAAGACAGTTGTGAGTTTTGCCCCATGGTACAATCTTTCTTGCCACGGTTGTTAAGTGAATCTGGCTTCCCCATTGACCTTGATTGTCAGAAGGTCATTTGGCCCCTTGTTGTGTTTTATTATTTTACTCTATCTCTTTCTCTATGGAGATTCTCAGTCATCCAGGTCATGGTTATCCCAAAGCACCTTTGGGACTATTATATCTTTATTTTGAAAGACTGTGAGTAGTTAGATTAATTCATTCTGAATGCCATAATTGTTTGTCTAGTTTTTTATTGCCTATTGTAATGCAATTAACTCTTTTTAAAAAGCACCTAGAGAGAAGTAGAGTCATTGCAGATAACTATGAATGGACTCATGGATTCAACCAGGACAAATTAGCTTTCTTCAGTGAGGAAATTTCATCACTGGGCAGAACTGTGGATGCCATTTTAAAAATATGAAATGCCTAAAATAACCTTTCAAAGTAAAAACTTACAACTTATAACATACAGAAGTAACTGCTAAAATATAAATATAGTAGGCAAAAATAAAAATTGAATAGTGAGAAATGTCTTAGTTAAAAGCATGGCATTAAAAGAAATCATGTGCAGACTAAAAGTAAGTTTAACATTCTTCTGAATTTTGAGCAAAGCAGCACCATATATTTTTATGTCAGGAGTTTAGAAGAGGGACTGTCTGAATAACCATGGGACCCCTTATTCTCCCATAGTGGATGAGAATAGGGTCAGAAAAAGGTCGCAAGTTTATATGGGGAGAGGCATCATTTGAAAATCTTATGGAGGAAAAAAGATGAAATATGTTCCATTATAGCTTTAGCCATGCTGAAATGACATAGTGCTCTGCTCACCTGTGATAAGGCAGGGCAGGGAGTGCACGCCAGTGCTTGCTGCTACCAGAGAGGCTTCGTAAGTGTCACGCTCATCTTGTGGTAGCACCTGTTCCAACCGTTGATCCATGGAGACCGTGAGAACCCAGTCACGGATCTCCTCACGCTGCTCTTCCTAGCACGGATAGACATATACGACACTAAGAAGGAATGAAAAGTGGCAGCACTACTAATACTTTAGGGCTGGATGGTGGAAGTGCCTGAGTCAACTGGATTGGGAATCTGGCAAGGGCTATCCATTTCCAAGAGATCCCCCTTAGAAATACTGTCTCTCCTGCTCAAAATACAAATGGATTGAAATTGCATGTGCATATGAAAACAACTTACTGAGATATGTGGCTTGGCAGGCAGTGGCACTTCAAAAGGGATATCTGTATTTTGGAAGTCTGAGTGGTCTAGAGCATCAAGGGAGCCCTCTTCAATTGCCTGGGAGAGCAAATAACATCAGAAAAAAAAACATGGAATCCTTTTCCCTCCCCACCAATCTCAAGAGTCTCAGATAAAACTCACATCAGTCAAATCAAGGAAACGGTTCAGGAAGATAAAAGCCATGTTCTGCCAACCAACACTCTGGAAAGATAAAAGAGAAGGATGAACTAGATCTAGAATGATCTTTCCCAATTCTTGCCAAAAGTCAACACTGTTTTCATTTCCAGTGTGGCAAGAGTGTTCAAATGTTTTCAAGCTAAGATTGCTTGGCTTTTGAGTAGCATATTGGAAATTGTGTTCTACAAAAATACTACCTTTTTTTTAAAAAAAAGTTTAATTAGAATCAAACGGGACGATAATCACTCTCTTCACATTTATCTGTGAGATTAGATGAAGACTTGATAATCTAATGTTCTCATTCAATAGTAATGTGATAGATGCAACTATAAAGCCTGCCAGACATGATATGAACAATAAAGACTTTTTTCTGTAAGACCTGTAAAAAATAAGGTCACTTCAATTGGGAAATTTAGAGATTTCACAATATATTATTTTGCTTAATCCCCTTTTTAAGGTATCTAAATTGGCAGGCATTGCTACATTGTATGAAACCAAATTCCACAATTTTAACTGAGCACTAGGTCACTCATCTTGCCATTTAACTTTAATGGGATGACTATGAGTCTAATATTTTGAGAAAGGAAAACAATGATTCTTCTCCACTTTATTAGTGCTGTATACAATTGTAGTTATGCCATCTTTCCTTTTACCATAATCAAGAATCCAATTACTGTAATCCTTAGAGTCTGCCTAGAATCCATCTGGATTGAGATCATAAATAATAATAATAATAATAATAATAATAATAATAATAATAATAATAAAGTTGGAAGGGACCTTGGAGGTCATCTAGTCCGATCCCCTGCTCAGGCAGGAAACCCTACACCATTTCGGACAAATGGCTGTCCAGTCTCTTCTTAAAAACTTCCAGTGTTGGAGCATTTACTGCTTCTGGAGGCAGGCTGTTCCACTGATTAATTGTTCTCACTGTCAGGAAGTTTCTCCTTAGTTCTAGGTTGCTTCTCTCCTTGATTAGTTTCCACCCGTTGCTTCTTGTCCTGCCTTCAGGTGCTTTGGAAAATAGCTTGACTCTCTCTTCTTTGTGGCAGCCCCTGAGATATTGGAACACTGCTATCATGTCCCCCCCTTGTCCTTCTCTTCGTTAAACTAGACATACCCAATTCTAGCAACCGTTCCTTATATGTTTTAGCCTCCAGTCCCCTAATCATCTTTGTTGCTCTTCTCTGTACTCTAGAATTCTAGAGTCTCAACATCTTTTTTACATCGTGGTGACCAAAACTGGATGCAGTATTCCAAGTGTGGCCTTACCAAGGCATTGTAGAGTGGCATTAATACTTCACGTGATCTTGATTCTATCCCTCTGTTAATGCAGCCTAGCACTGTGTTGGCCTTTTTGGCAGCTGCAGCACACTGCTGGTTCATATTTAGGTGATTGTCTACTAGGACTCCGAGGTTCAGTTCTCTTGATCATTTGGCCATTATTATACTGTAAATGTTTTAATTCTTTTAAAAATTTTCTAGAGATCATTTGTTTGAAAGTTAAAAATCTGAAGGTGATTCTGAATGTAAGAAGTGGAATCCTCAGGAAGTCAGTGTAAGTTTGTCACATTTCTATAAAGCATTCAAGGAACTGGTCATTTCCCCATTTTGCCTTATTTGGCAGTAATTGGACAGGTATTTCCCCACCAAGCTACCTGGATGTGATCTACAATCAGGAACTTGCTGCTCCTCACCTTAGCTGCTGTCCCTGCTTCATAGAAGGCCTTGTCTGCTGGAATGATCTCAGTATGGCGCAACAAAGAGATGGAGAGCTTGGCTGCCACAGTTTCCTGGGGGCAAAAAAAAGACAAACTCAAATTCTGCTCCCACACTAGCTTCCATTCTTAAGAAAAGGCACCTTTTCAGACAAAAGTAGTCTACTCAAGTGGAGTTAGTTGCCCCACCTTTGCATTCTTTTTAAACATGCTAATGAATTTAAAATAGAGAAAAGTTCTGAAAGTCAGACTCGTCATGAGAAAATTAAGCTACACACTAGTTAAGAGCCAAAATGTCACAAGAATTATTCTTTCATGACTGGCAAACCTAAACAAACAGACTTGGTTGTCAGTTGCACAAGATCCATAGATTTTGTAGCCATCCAAATCTGAAGCTGAACTAACAAGGCAAATACTGTACCAAAGATAATGCAATCAGAACTCCATGCAGAGGGAAGGGAAATAGTAAGAAATCTAGGGTTCAGGAACAAGCCAAAGACTAGTAAAACGGTTAAGTCCTTTTGATCTGCTGTCATCCTTCTCTTACCAGCTGTTTGATGCTTTGGGCTGCAGATCGTGTAGCATAGTAGTGGGATATAAGCAATATGGTTTCAAACTCCTCATGAGCTGGTGAATTGGCTTCACTTGATTTCCCTAAATTTTCACACTATAAGAAAGGGGATCATGTAAGTTTGCTAGATTCTTAATCACTTGAAATTGGGAAAAATGACATATATATATATGTGTGTGTGTGTGTGTGTGTGTGTGTGTGTGTGTGTGTGTGTGTGTGTTAAAAAAAGAAACCGTAGATTGTGGTCTCATTTAGGGTCATCTAAACATATATTCACTCCACCAAAGAGATTGGGTAATAATGAAAAATCTGCTTTTATCTAGATTATAGAGTGGTGCCACACAAATATATTGCACTAGCTTTATTTAGGAAAACTGTTGTTTTCTGCAGCACAGAGGAGTAAAGTCAATTACAATCAATGTTATATCATACATTTATTTAAGCTCTACTCACCAGGTTGAAGAGCACGTCCCGCAAATCAGCCCAGCTGTGATAAGCCTCTGGCCTATTCATGTTGGCTGCATTCACCATCTCCATAAATAGTCGTTTATAAATATTGAAATTCTGAAGAGAAAATATAGGAAAAGCTTTGCTATGAACAGAAGCAAGCAAACTTTCTGAGCCAGTGGGAATGTATCTTACCTGGACATTGGCAGGGGCACCATTCTGGATATAGAGGCTCAAGACTTTGTCCCAGCTGTTCTCACGGATCAAATATGTGGCATAAAGAGCCACATATTTATGCAGCACTTTATAATTCTACAAGAAGCCAAAAGAGGAAGAAAATAATATGGAAAACTATAAAACAAATAGCAGTTTTCCATTATGAGAAATGATCTGGTGAAACAGGAGGATTCCTTTCTAGGTGACTATCTCTTTAGTGTTTCCCATTTCCTAGTGAAAAAAAGGACCTGTCTTGTTTGTATTCTGTCCAAATTGATACTCCATTCATCAGTTCTGAAATCCAGTTTTATCAAAATCAATTTTGTACGAAGTTTTGGAAGCGGTCACCATACATTGAATAGGCAATATCAGTCCAACGGAAATATCAATTATTTCCCCTGAAGGCTCAGCATGCCTTGATTGATCATGTAATTTGTTCAATTAAATGAATTTAATGACCATCTCCAAAGTGGCTCAGGGCAATATACCATACAACCAACAGAATAAAAGATCATGGTGCATTTCTCTAACGACACACAATCTGGGGGAGCGAGGGCAAAGCCTGAGAGAACAGCCTGGTCTTTAAGGCTTTCTGGAGGGCCAGCAGGATGATAGGTACGTGGATATTTATTTATTTATTTGTACAGTCATACATTTATACATTTATACTTTTATTTATACATTTGGTTTATTTTGGAGGGCTAGCAGGGTGATAGCTACGTGGATTATTTATTTATTTATTTATTTATACATTTGGTTTATATAACTATCCATCTCATGCTTGTAATTTATTTGCATGCTGCCTTTATTATTTTTAGAAATAACTGAAGGCCCCGAACGTATCCAACACACTTCCCACCTCCTATTTTCCCCATAACAACTATGAAATGGATTCAACTGAGAGAGAGTGACTGGCCCAAGGTTACCCAGCTGGCTTTCATGGCTAAGGCTTAACTTGAACTCAGTCTCCCACTTTCTACTCTGGTGCTTTAACCACTAGACCAAACTGGCTTTCATAGTTGAATGACAATTCCTTTTCAGTCCCCTTTTGCAAACAGATCTTTGGCCCCTAACTAAAGCAGTGGGGAATGGAAGGTGGGCTCAATTCTCTTGGTTTCATAGATCCACCAAACTCAAATGTTCTAGACACCTTTGGGGGGGGGGGGGAAACTAAGATGCTTAGATTGGTGGTCAGCCATTGTGACAATTTGGTTCCTTTTGTAGCAGAACCACTTGGGCCTTTCACATACCTGTTTGGCAGCTGTCTCCAGGCACTTTTCCCACTGCCCCCTTTCCACATACATATCGAGGGCAGCCATAACATCCACGCCCACAAGCTGTCAAAGAGAAATCAGCTATAAGTCAGTCACTTAAACCAGAGGTCCCCAACCTTTTGGGCACCAGGGACCGTTTCTCTGGAGAGAGGTTTTTCCACGGACCGGAGGGTGCGTGGTTTTATGTGCTGCATGCATCTCATGGATGGGGCTTTCCTTGTTTCTGCAGACCGGTTGCTGGCATGCCGTGGCCCAGTACCGGTGCATGGACTGGGGGTTGGGGACCCGACTTAAACAATAATGAGACAGCAGTACCAACGTGGACAATTCTATCTGTTTGTATACCTAACCCCATCTGATATTCTCTGGTCCCCTTCTAGAATTGCCAAATAATATATTTGGCTTGCACCAAGATTTTGTATAAAAGTAGCTGCCAACAGTTTTGATTTAAATTTCCCTGAATTTTTCCTAACCCTCACAATTTTTAACATCTTCCAAAAAAATTACTGATAGAAGAATGACAGATATATTCAATTTAAGCTGCACTTCAAAAATCTCTCTCATTTTTATTTATATAGATGTAAAGGTTTTTCAAATTATTCACTTTAAGTTCTCTCCCAACTGTCAGGGTCTCCCACTTTCCCCTTCATCCCACTCAGATTCCTGCTCACCGAATCTACTTTGCCTTGATTCTTGAGGTATTCTTTATAGTGTTGATCCACATATTCTTCGTATCTGCCACAAAGAAAGTTTGTCATTTCTGTCCTAGTAATAAGGTGACCACCTTAGTCATAAGGTGATGCAGCAGTAGGCTTCAGAAACTGACAGTCTTCCACATAAACAGCATTATATGTTCTTATTCAAAGTGTATTATTTGCAAACCACTCTGAGAAGTAGAGTGCAGTACCTGGGGTCAAGCTCTTTGGCCACACACTTAGCTCTGCTCCACTCCTCCCCCTCCATGAGAGCATCGATGGCTTCCTTGATTAGATCAAGGTTGAGGTATAGCTCTACCGCCTGAGGATGGGATAGGAATGAGAAATTCGTTGCTATATGAAAATAGTAGATAGGAAGTTTGGGACTGTACAGAGGAGGTGTAGGCTCATGTCTGGCTTGAGAAGAGATAAGCTTCCCAGGAATTTTGAAACTACAGAAAAAAAACTTGTTTTAAAAATGGAAATGTTGGGCAAAATTAAAATACATGCAATATTTATTTGCATGCCACACTTTATTGATTTAAATTCACTTTGCTAAGTTAAAAACCTGCAGGAGAATATGCATATCATGTTTCCGCATAACTATTATGCAGAATATTTATTAAATGTAAAACTGTAATTTCATCAATGACTACTTTTAATAATTGAATTTACTTTTAAAGATTTTTAAAACTTTGTTTTGGCATTCCTTTATGCTTCTTCCATCCTTTGAGGCTAGTCAAGAACAGATCCACCAACCTCTATGTAAAAGTCAGTCACAGAAACTGACTTTTCACAGAAACTGACAGTTTCATGGAAACTGGATTTTCCTTCCTTCATTGGTGAAAATAGCATTTTGCCCTCTTGGGACAGAAATTCATTTTTTATTAGCATTAGAGAACTGGACTGCATAGCTTATCTTTTATGTAAAGTCTTCCTATTATAATAGAAAACGTACCATTTCTTTCATTATTCTAAAAGAAAAGGTTTTATTGGAACATTTTTTATCCTCTGTCCTCTTTCTAATCTTAAAAAAATACTGGGGAAAAAATGTTTGTACAAATACAGATGAGACTAAACTGCCTTTCAGAGGTTTGCTCTTACCACGCTGAACTTGCCAATGCTGACCAGCTGGGGCCCCACTGTCCTCATCACCTCAATGCTCCGAGGCTGGCCAAGAAACTTGATAGAAAGTTCAGCTGCCTGACGTGAAAAGAAGCATTCACAAATGAAGAAAGGTCCCTTGTACAGTCTTCTTGGTGCAGAGACTCCTGTCATAATGATTTACAGCTTACAGTACTCCATCATAGATAATTTGGAATGGTAATTTTGAACTTTTGGAAAAAAAGCAACTGAACAATGACAATCAAAAGACAAATTTAGCTTGAATGTATGAAAGAAGCAGAAGTACAACTGATTTAGAAAGTTGCCCAAAAAATTCCCCCCAGACCCTTCTTTCCATTTCCATTTTTTTTCCATTTCTCTCTTTCATTACACTGTATGCATCCAACTGACTTCAAATGCCATAAGTAGGAAAGGTTAGATCGGGTAGGCAACCCAAAACACTCGAAGAGCCACTTGGACCTGTTTCCCACCGAAAACAAAACATTGGGAGCTGGCTTCAAGCTGTTCTCCAACAAGCTCAGGGGTAGGCAACCTCGGCTCTTTTATGACTCATGGACTTCAACTCCCAGAATTCCTGAGTCAGCATAGCTGGGCTAGCTAGCTCTCTCCTGCCCTTCCTGCTTCCTGCAGAGACGCAGCCAAGGCAGGAGCCCTGCCCAGTAAGATTTTCAGCTCGTCAGAGAACACTGTGAGTCCACTCTCTTTTTTACACACACACACTCACACACACACACACACACACACACACACAGAGGGGAGAGAGAGAGAGAGAGAGAGAGAAAGAGAGAGAGAGAAGGGAAGCGCAAGTGCTTCTTTCTCTGATAAACTGGCCCCAGGCTGCAGGTTGCCGACCTGTGGATTAGATGAACCTTGAGCAATTTCCTACCTTCATGGAACATTTTTCCATCAATGCACTGTTGCTAGGGTCCCGCACCTTGAGATAGCAGTCCACAGCTCTGGCATATTCGCCTGCTTGCTCCCACTCACGTGCCTGCTCCAAGAGGCCCTCAATGCCTCTAACAATCAACAGAATTTTAATCAATGTCCAGAAAGCGACAAGGAGATTTCCTACAGCTTGATGTTGAAACTCCTATCTATTCCATCCCATAGAATTAGAAGGATAGTCCCAGTGACAGCTCAAAGACTAAGAAGATCCTTGTCTTTGAAGCAATTATTTGTAGAAACCTCAATAAAAGAAGACCAAGTGATTAGGACTTTGAGAAACCCAGCCTTAATCTTAGGGCTGAGTGACTTATGGCTATCAGCAAGCCAGCTTCCAGAAACTTTCCCATACCTCTCATGACTTAAATACCTGGATCCTTTTTTAGCCACCTCCCGTTCATACTCTTCTTGTAGAACCTCCAGATCTCCAGGGAGAAATTCTTTGCAGATTCGGAGAGCATCAGTCCACATAGCAGCTTCCTGGGGAAAAGAATCATGAAAAATATCCTTACTTGGCAAAGGAGAAAGGGAGAAACTCCTCCTTTTCCCCCGTGAAAAAAAGAACAATTGTAATAATTATAACTCATAATTTCTACCCTTGGGAGTTACAAATAGTCTTGATTTAGGATTATTTGTTCAGCAACTGTTTGAAGCTACAATGGTGCTGAATGACAAGTTATGACAAGTTCTGGCTGTCCTAGCACTCTTGGTAAATCACGATCACAATTTGGTGCTTGGCAACCAGTTTGTACTTGCAACCAATTACAATGTCCTGTGATCACCACTAGCAATCTTCCCTATCGCTTTCCCTAGAAAGCCAATAGGGAAGCCAGCAGGAAGGTTGAAGGTCACTGTGATACGTCTCCCCCACCTGTGCACCCTCCCCCAGCCCCTCTGTGCTCATGCAGTGCCAGCCATTTGCATACCCTTATGGACTGGTGCTGTATATCCTCCTTGACCTGTGTTGCACCCCCCATGTACCCTTCCTGACTCACACGCTCATGCATTCCTTTGCACACCTTCCTCAACTCTTGTAGTGCCTTTCCTATGCACCCCCTCACTTCCTCCCCCACCCAGCAGCAACTGCTTACCTGCCTGCTGGCCTGGCACTTACAACTTCCTGCTGGCTTCCCCACTACCTTGGTTGCAGAAAGTTGCCTTGCCTAACCACTGCAGGATATATCAGGCCATATTTGATTTGCAGTGGGGAAAAAAATCATTCAAAACCAGCATGGTTTGTTTTACTCAGCCAATGTACATGTTGTTGGCCACCAGCATTTTTGATACAGGTTGGGAGAATAGGAGGAATTATTTCCTCCTACTGGCTAGTATGCTTCTCTGAAATTCCATTTCATCTGCTGCTCCCATCACCCAAAAAATGCTATCATGTTTTGATCACAATCTGGTTGCAGAGAATGTCAAATGGAGTTCCATTTCTTTGGAAATCCCTAGGTAGCTTTAATAAGATGGTATTTGGTTTGAGTAGAGTGGCTTCCTCACAGCAATAGAATAACAACCGGATAGCAAATTGGGGTTTAAAAGCTGTCTATGGTGAATTTCATGCAAAACCATAGTCTATTAAACATCTACTGACCCAATCAAAACGTTTTGCCAGAGAGAGCAGTCCTGGTGTTTTTTTTTCTGTTTACCTTGTAGTGTTTCACAGCTAGATCAAGTCGCTGAGCACGCAACAGCAAAGCTTCTGCTTTCTGGAACTCTTTTTGCTTGAAGGCAGCATCAGCTTGACCAACTAGCACAATCACTACACTCTCTGGATCATGGACTTCAGCTACTCGTTGGGCAGCAGCCCAGTTCTGAGCATGAGCATACCTAAATGAGCAGGAAGCACATTAAAGCACTGGAATAGGACAGAGGCAGAAAGCAAGAGTATCATAGGAGGATGGAGGAACACTCACATTAGAACTGCCTCTTTAGGCTTCCCGGCCTTCACAAATTCCACCTCTGCTTCTTCAAACTTGCCCTGCATTTAACGAGAACGGCATATTCACCACATGACCGGCATTTACTTCAGAAAAGAGAGCAACCATTAAGAAACACGAGGGATTTACCTCATCTTCCAGGAAAGAGCCATATTTGAAGTGGATCTCAGGTAGTTTCTGCTTCAGGGAGAGTCTAGCCAACTCAAAGGCAAAATCAAAAATGCTATGGAAGAAGAAAAGGAGGTGGAAGGAGGAATTATATCTCCCATCCCAAACCACTTCAATTTCAGCAGAGTGAAAACTATATACCACTATTGGGCAACTGTCCCATGAGGTTAAAACCAACCTGATTACAAAAGAAGCATAGCAAGAAGACCCACTCAAGCCACACAAGAAAGGGGACCTGTAGTTACTGCAGAATCCCCTGCCTTGTTGAAAGCCATGGGCAGGTCCTACCCCTTGAGAATCTCTGGTATGAAACAAGGCATTGGCGGATCTTGCCTCCTTTCTAACAGGAGACTTTGCTTGGATACACCAGTAAGCCTTTTCCTCCTTGCTGCTCACTTGTTGTCAGCTGCATGGTCAATGGCCATTTCCAGAAGTCCAAATTTGTTGAGGAGTTTCACGGCAGCCTCTCCACCAAGACTCTTTGCCCACAAGAAGGCCACATGCTTGTGAGAATTTGCTCCACCATGAGCTTTTGCTACCTGTCTCAGATGAAAACAGAGATGAGAGGAGAATTGGGCCTAAAGCAACTTACCGTTGCTGCCCATCAAATGTAACTTTTCCAAGCCTAAGAAGCATGTCCATCCTTCAGCCTTTTCTTTGTGCATGCATACTTCTGGCACCACCACTCCCGCCTCTCAATACTATACTCTTTAAGGCAATGTAGTAAACACACAGGTAGGGTGTATGCTAGTAATGTGATTATGGACCCCACACGTAGCTCCTAAGCTCAACCCAGAACAGCTTAGACAGCTCATGCCCTAGCTGTTACATCAAAAGGAATTATGTATGCTGCTTTTACCCTATAGGCCTCATCCCACATATTGTTCACACGATACATGTTTATAGCTGCCTTCCAATCCTTGGCTTCAAGGTAGTGATATTCAGCCTCCTGCAGATGCCCATCAGCTTCCAGTTCCTGCAAAATAAGTCAGAAGGTCACCACTAAATCTGCTTTTCTTCTGTTACTTCTCCTCAACTGCTTTACCTTGCCCAAGTGCAAATGTGTATCGCTCAGCAGATCCTTGTGGTATTTGGCCAGCAGGCAAATCATCTCATCATACATCTTGCAATTCTTGTACATTGTAATGGCCAAGTCTGGTTCATCCACAGTTATGTAGAGCCTGGAAAAAAGCATAACTTGCCACTGAAAATGTTGCACCCCAAATAAGGATCCCACCTAGAACTACCTTGGTGATGCATACAACTTGGCAAAAAAAAGTTCAGCCTGTGGGATTCACAGATATTCCCCCAAGAATTCTGCTTAATAGTTTGTTTATACCAGTTGGAAGCCTCTCCCCTCTTTCTTCCCCCAGTCTCTGTTACAAATTCCATTCTTCTGGTTTAAAAGATATAGAACTGAAACACCTCTCACCTCTCAGCTTCCTTGTACTTTCCCTGTCGCTCCATCTCCTGAGCTTGTGTAATGTACAGCACTGACACATCCTCTGGCTTCATACATTTTGATGCCAGCTGCAAGGAGAAATGGGAGCTGGGCATGAAAGGATAAACTCCCCTTCTCAAATACACACAAGAGGTGTACAATATCCTATTTTGAACCATTCTGGATAACCCAAGCAAATTGCTTCGCTCCCTCCCATTGCAAGCTTTGTTCAAATGCACTTTCTGGAACTGGGAACATATGGACCATTTGGTGCCTCATTCCTCCCTGCTCTGGGTTGACCAGAACACATCTATTGTCAGCGCTGCGACAACTTAAAATTAATTGATTCCACGCAAGGACTATCATCGGCTTTTCACTCGTCTACAAATGGGGCGGCTGAAAAGCGAACGCAATGGTGGAGCAATACCTTAGATGTTATGTGGATTACCAATAGACAAACTGGACTGATAGCCTCCCTTTTGCTGAAGTGGCTTATAACACTGTACACAGTAGCACCGGATTTATGCCGTTTAAAATAGCCACAAGGAGGAATTTCATCCCAATGCCTGAATACCCCCAGGAACCACCTGCCTCTCAGACTTTAGATCAACGGGTGTCAGCTTGAAAGGAAGTGTGGGACAATGCAAAGAAAGCTTTGAAGAAATTGGCTCTATGCAAAGACTGTCATTGGCTTTTCACCCGTCTATGAATGGGGCAGATGAAAAAGCGAACACAATGGTGGAGCAATATCTTAGGTGTTATGTGAATTACCAACAAACGAACTGGACTGACCTCCTCCCTTTCGCTGAAGTGGCGTACAACAACACTGTCCACAGTAGCACCGGGTTTACGCTTTTTAAGATCACCACAAGAAGGGATTTTATCCCAATGCCTGAATATCCCCAAGAACCACCTGCCTCTCAGGCTTTAGATCAATGGGTGTCAGCTTGGAAGGTAGTGTGGGACAATGCAAAGAAGTCTTTGAAGAAAGCCTCAGAAATGTACAAAAAACAATTTTGGATGCATTTTAGGAAGGACACTGATAAACTGGAATGCATCTAGTGATAATGTGTCCAGATAAGGTGCCTAAAAGGAAAAACTTATGGGTACTGGCTGGAGGCATTAATTATGTTTAGCTAGGAGAAGAGAAGACTGCGGGAGGACATCATAGTTCAGAGCTATTCCAGAAGGAAAGGGAAAAAACAATAGATTTAAAATACAGTGAAGAATATTGCAGTTTGACATCAGAAAAAAAATTCTTTAATAACCAGTCGGAGTTATGATGGCCTTGGAAATTGTGCTTTACAGTTCATAAAGCACTTTTGGCTATTGTAAAATGTAAAATGTTGTCACATGACCATATTCCAAGCTCTTGACAACTGGCTCATATTTATGACTGGTTGCAGCATCCTGTAGTCATATGACCACAATTTTTTGCCAGTTTCTGGTAAAAAACACCCATTGGGAGAATGGATTAGATTTACGACTTTGTGAGTCACTTAACAATCATCATAAAAATAATTGTAAAAATGGATTCAGTCATATGAGTGCAACTTATGACCATCACAACTTACAATTGTAATTCTAGTCCCAATTGCAGTGGTAAGTCAGGCACTATCTGTATTTGTTCCTATGTTAGACTTCTTGAAGGTTTTTTTGATGGGACGAACAATTGGTTGAGAAGTGTTACTATGCTCTTCTGGCATTCACTGAACACAAACAGGGATTTTCCTGGAATGTTCTTACCTTATGTGCCTTTTCCCAATGTCCAGCTTGGGTGTACATATCAATGGCATCCTTAATGTGGTCTCCTTTGATATACAATTCCTCTGCTATCTAAAGGGACAAACAGCTTGTTATGTTTCCATTGTATCAATGGGTGTGTGTATGTGTGGAGGGAGAAAGTTGTTACCTCATACTCTTGCAAGGCTGCATAGTGTTGGGCAATTTTGGGGTAATACTTGGTTGCTGTTTTCCTATCCTGCATATCAAGAATGTATATAGCTTTCTTCCACTGCCGAGCCCCAATGGCTGCTTCAATGGCCTTGATAGCACACCTGGAAAAGATCACATTCCTTAGAGCAAGGCTCCCACAGGACCCATCCTGATCCTGGGTGCCAGTCCAACATACAACTTTCAGAATACCAGTAACTACAAAAAAGGTAGCCTCAAGGAGTCTAGTCAGTATACCCTCCACAGACCTGGCCTCAATGTAGTGGTTGATAGCTGCATCTAGTTGCTTCTGTTGTACAAGGTGGTCTCCCCAGCCCTCCTCCAGCTTTACCACTTCTGCTGGAAAAACTGAACGAGAAAGTTCTACTGCTGCAGAGAAAGGAAGAACAAAGAGCATGTAAGGAGAACTAAAGGGACCAGATCTTGGACAAGCTAATCTCTTAAGAAATATGCAGAACCTTCCTAATGCAAAGAAATTTTGGTTTAAGATCCATATATGGCTGGAAAAGATGACTAAAATACAGATAGAATTTAAGCCAGAACTGTTTTTGTTAGGAATACTAGGACTTAATTATGGAAAAGAGAATGAATATTTAATATTACATGTATTGACAGCTGCGAGAATAGCATTTGCCCAATTTTGGAAAAATGAAAACCTACCACCTGACCAGATTATAATCACGAAAATCCTAGAATGTGCAGAAATGGATAGATTAACTTTAGAGATTAAAGAGAAAGAAGATTCAGTTTATTTCAAAACATGGGAAAATTGTTATCAATGGTTAGCAACACGATAGAGCGAGAAAGGATGGTGAAATTTAACAGGATGAATATTTATTGACTAAACTTTACTTTTATGATTATTGTTATTATCAGTGACTATAACTGTTTAGTATTATATTAATTACTGAATTTTTGTTGGGGGTAACCCCACTACTATATTTATCCCTACCCTTATCCCAACCCCATTTCCCAACCCCATCCAATATCCATATATATATATATATATATATATATATATATATATATATATATATATATATATATATATATATATATATATAGCAGAACCTAAAACTGCCAATCCAAGGATATTCTAAATATCTCTTCCCTTGGTCCTTTTTGCTTTTTGAGGTTTTTTACCATAAACAAGATTTGCTATATAAGTAGTCCTCACTTAATGATTGCCTTGTTAACGGTCATTCAAAGTTAGTTACAACGATGCTCAAACAACTTATAGTGACCTCCCATTTATGACCTCCACATTGTCTCTCTGCTCTTATTTTCACTTGCTTGTTCATCTCATACCAAAATATCCTCAGGGAGAAAGAAGCCCAGTTTGGCTGAAGGACGTAGCAAGATGCAAAGGAAAACTGAAGTAAAATCATAAGCACACTCACAATCATTTGATTTTCACTTAGTGACTGCTTCAATAACTGAGTTGCTGGTTCCAATGGTGGCTGCTAAATGAGGATTACCTGTAAATGATTTTGTTCTACCTTCTAATATTAAAAATTTTCGATAAACACTCAATAAAATGTAGGAAATATAAAATTTGAGAACTTATAGGCAAGCTGCAGCCTCAGAAGAGCCTCCCTCCCTCCTTCTCATACCTTTCAGAAATGAGTTGCCCTTGCGATAGCACTCCAGTGCTCTTTGTGGGTTCCGAATTTTTTCGAAGAGTTCTCCAGCCTGAAAAAGAGGAGAACTGCCATCAGTTGAAACCTTACAAACTGCCCCAAAATACCCAATTTTCAAAGGCAGATCAACCACTTTTTGTGCTGGGAAGTATTCTGTAAGCAAAGTAAGGTCTATCAAGCTCCCTCCTGCCGTCAGGTGACCCTACTGACTCCCTACATCACAGTATTTTTCACATGGAACGATGACATCTCATTGCTCCAAGGCATCACCACAAAAGTCTTTATATTGAAAATCACTGCAACCTGAGACTTTGAAGCACCTTGAAAACTGAACAACTTCTTGGCCTCATAGTCCATTTACAATTTTAAAAAAGGATGCTTGTGGGAAAAGAATAACCAAATTTGGAGAGTAACTTTGCAAGATTTAATGAATTAAAATATAGAATATAGTAGCCTGATCCGTAGAAGAACTTACTTTCCTTTCTCTTAGTGAAGGTTATTTTTTTTTCATCTTGAGGCAAAATGTAAACCCTCAAAAAAGACACTAATATGTGTATTCCTTAAAACACATTGAAATTAATGAGCTGAACGCAAAAGCAACCGATAGCCTAGGCCAGGGTTTGCAGCCCAGTACCAGGCTGTAGTCTATTCGGAACTGGGCCACGTGAGTGGTGGGCCAGCGCATGCATGCACAGTTCAGTTTGTATGAGCAGCAGGTTGGCGTGCACTCGCATGCACATGTGTGTATAGTTCAACTTGTGCAAGTTGACCTGTGTGCACCTGTGCATCGGTCCACCACTTACGTTAAGTTGAGCTGCACGTGTTCACACGTGTGCCGGCCCATCGCTCACACAGCCCAGTTCTCCTTCCCCCCCCCCAGTTGGGCCACCAAGCCGCAAAGGTTGGGGACCACTGGCCTAGGCCATCCTCTTATTCCATCATCACCCTCATTCATTCTGTCACATAGATCCTTTTTCTTCCAATCTCTAAAAGCAATAAACTTGTTTATTGTGAGCCCTATCCCCTTCCCAACTCTAGCTATGCCTACCACTGGTTCATAATCTCCATCTTACTGCTCACTGCTACGTATGTTATCATCTCTGGCCTAGATAACATTGGGAAGATCTACTAAGATGCTATCAACTACAACCCTGAAGAAAATAAAGGGATGATAATAAGCATACCTACCATTACCACTGGGTGATGCACATCTCCTTCAAAAGAGGAATGTAACATGATTAACAAAGCTGTATAACTACTGAGCGTTCGGAAGTGTAATAGATGCCTCACCTGCTCAAAAAGCTCTCCTCGAATCAGGGCTGTAGCAATACGATTGATGAGGTCAATATTTGCCAGTAGTTCCTCTCGGTCCATGGTCAGCTGTGCTGCTTTAGCTGGTAGCCCAGCCTTCAGGTAGAGGCCAATGGCTGCTTGCAAGTCCCCTTGGCTCTCCTGCACCTCAGCAGCTCGCTCCTCCTGCTGTGTCTGCAGCAGCCACTCATAATAGCTTTGACGCAATTTTTCTAATGCAGGATGGTTCTAAGAGTGAGAGAGAGAGGACAACAGAGGAGGAGATATCAGACCATCTCAGAAACTGATGATCTTAAATCTTCAGTGCCTCTCTTACTTTTGCCTCTGCCACTGAGATGCATTCATCCCACATGTGAAGCTCTTGATACATCTCCATGGCCTCCTCCACAGCATTCTAAAACAGGGGAAATAATATGGGTTAGGGTACAGAGAGGTGTAGGGGACAAAAGTGTTCAAAATAAGCAATCCCTGCTCCCAGACTTACCTGCTCCAGAAAGATCATCTCTGCCAGCTTGTAGTTTTTTTCTAACATAGCCAAGCGGACTCGGACCTGGTAATAGTCTGTGCCATCCCCTCCCTGAAGTGAGCAGTTAAACAGAGGAGGAGATGTCACTCTCAAACTGTGGGAAAAAGAGACTGCCCCCTCCAACTCCATCCATGTAAGTTAAGCACCCACCAAGTGCAAGGAGAACCCAGATGAGACAAATGCTCTATTGGATTAGTAGGTTCTTCTTTCCCTTTAATGCAAGGGTATCTAAACATTTTTGCCATCACACCTCCTTTTAATGTAATCTTAATGTATATACCTCCCCTAAAACCCTCAAAACTAAAATGAACACAGATGAGCAATGTAAACGACACAATTAATCTTTGGGAAATGGGGATTTATTGTAGCAACATAACTAAAAGGTTCTTCAACCCTCCCCGCGTGGCTGCCTGCACCTCCCCAATTTGGGAAACCCCGATTGAAGGGAAAGGGGAATGCAGGAACATTGATAGGGAAACCTAGGAGATAGGAGAATAAAAGAGCAAAAGCAAGCTCTCCATTTCACTCACGTATTTCTTGGCCACTTGGTCAGCAATCTCATTTGTTTCATGGAGAAATCGAGCCTTAGATACTTGTCCAAGAGCAGCAAAACACCTAGAAGAAAATATTATCAGGGTTTATTTTATTTATTTTATTATTTTATTTTAGAAATTTTATTTATTTCCAGATTTATAAGGACACCCAACTCGGACAGTGTGATTCTGGGAGGTGCACAACAAAAATACGTAATAACACAAACATCAAACAACCAATATATAAATTCAAAGGGTTGCAAAATTTGGGATCTAAAGTGGATAGGAAGCAGAATAAAGTGTCTTCCAGCTCATAACTGATCTAAAGGAAATTCGTAAAAATATAACTAGTAAAGATGTGAGTAGTAAGCAAGACCGTTAACAATCTAATCAAGGTATTTCATGAAAGATGACAGACTGAATCAAGAAGAATTCCTTGGTTAAAATGGGTTGCTCTCTGAGTGACACTGTGGGAGAACTAGGTTAATCAATGGGATCAAAAAAAAAAAAAAAAGATGTCAGCATCTTTTCCAACTAAGACATTTTATAACCTACATCCATATAACCAATTTGTCTTTCACCATCACCCCCTCTGTTTCACTCCAATATAAATCCTACATCAGTCTAGCCCAGGGGTAGGCAACTTTGGCTCTTTTATGACTCGTGGACTTCAACTCCCAGAATTCCTGAGCCAGCCATGCTGAGGGGAAAGGGAGAGGTTTCCAAGCTGAGCCATGCTGGCTCAGGAATTCTGGGAGTTGAAGTCCATGAGCCATAAAAGAGCCAAGGTTGCCTACCCCTGGTCTAGCCACTATGTATCTCAGGAGCTGAAATGAGATGCAGCTGACATAAGCGTATGCTTTTTTAGAAAATGAGTTTGCACAAAACCAGACTCCTGATTCTCTGGCTAGCAGTGCCAGATTATCTCTACAAGATACTTTTGGGAGGCTTGCCAGACCAAATCACTCACCGTTCAGCAATATGCAGCTGTTTGGCCTCCAACGCTAATCGACTTAATGTTTTCCACATGGCCTCTGTCTCAGCAGACATCTCCAATGTTTCTAAGAAAGCTACAGCTCTAAAAGCAGAAAGCAAAGGGGCTGAGTACCAGTCTCCCATGGCAACGGGGCACTGGGCAATTAAGAATGGGGAATCAGATTTTCTTCAAACTCTCTGTAGACTCCATCAAGGCTTCACATGCAAGGACAGATTCCTCCCCTCAAGGGTAAGGATGGACCAACTTTGCTTGCTCGTGGATCCCCACCAAAGCTTTTCTAGAGGTGTTGCTTGTTGGCTGGTTCCAAATTCTCACCTGGCTGGAAATTTAAACCTCTCTGGAATCCATTTCAGCCTCTCACCTGTGGTAGTCGCCATCATCAATGGCTGTGCCAAACTCAATGAGCCCCTCATCCAGAGTGTAGGACACGGTATTTACACCCTCAGTCACAATCACCTCTGTCTTCCCATTGCTCCTTTCCAAGTCCACAATATCACCCTGCAGGAGCCAATTTTTAAAAACTTAGTTCTTTTCCCACACTATACAATCTGTCTTCCCTTCACTAGCTGAGAGATTATGACAGCCTCACAAACTCCAGCTAATCTTTACCAACTAAGCACTTAAATCAGATGCGGGTCTGGTACCAGCAGCAGGAGAGCAAATATTACCTTCATAGGGAACATGGTCACTCGTTCTGGCGTATCAATATTATACCATACACAGAGACTGTTCCGATTCTGGGCTACCACCACGTCACTCCCTGGAACCCACTGCACATAGGAGCAGTAGCTAAGGATGGTGGTCTTTACAGCATTGTCAATATCATAAAGATGCAGCTGGGAATTATAACAGGTGAGGTGGGTGGGAGAAAAGAAACACAGCATCAACAGAGGCATGTTTTTCATGTTATCCTTTTTCCTTTTTTTCAAGGTCTTTACACAACGTAATTCCCTCCCCCTCTATATCCTCCTGTTACCTTCATCTTTTTATCCCGGAAAAGCAATTTATGACCAGTTTCATTCAGCTCCAGCCAGTCAATCTTGCTGTCATGGCTGATAGTGCCAATATTATAGCTGGCCACAAGGTCCACTGAAGTCATAAAAAAAAAAAGGTACAAGGCTCAGAATTAAAGCTGAGATCAACCTCAAGCAGTCAAAGCTTGGGTAGAAAAGAAGAAAGAACTCCACCCACCTGCTGCAATGGTCTTAATGTCAACCAAATAGGCTAGCCGTTTGTTCTCCTCAGCTCCTCGTTGCCTCCTCTCATTGAGTCGGACACTGAAAGTACAAAAATGAGAACAGGTGGGTGCATGTTGCGGGGGTGCTTTTACTTTTCAAGTTCCAACAGCAGAAAAAGGTCTCATTATTCACCTGATGAGATGGGGGTTCATAAACTCAGTGCGCACAGAACCCAGAATCTCATTGCTCCCATATTCCACTAGAGTCAACTCTCCCGCATTGAAGATCATGCAGACCTAGAGTAAGATGGGAAGCAGGACAATTTGAATGGCAAGGAAAAGGGAAATAGGGCCTTCAAAAGTCGTGGCTTCTTATACCTCTTCTCCCTTCCCCCCCCAATGTTATAGAAATGGCAACCAGAAGAGTAGAAACTCTTGCAGAAAGAAAGTTAAGAAAGAGGAATACTGGTTAAGATCTGAACGAGCTAGCATGCCCACTTACATTTTCATTGTCAAAGAAAAACTTCTCATTCCCACCAGATCCTTGCCAGGCCACCTGAGAAGAATGGACAATATGCATGAAATCAGACAATCTTACCATGTTCACCCAATCCAGGGGTAGGCAACCTTGGCTCTTTTATGACTCGTGGACTTCAACTCTCAGAATTCCTGAGCCAGCTGTGTCATAAAAGAGCCAAGGTTGTCTACCCCTGATCCAATTCAGACTTGCCTGATATGATTTGACAAGATTGCTCTCTTACATAACATGCTTCCACTAGCATTTCTCAGCATGCATGCTGCTCACATCATTTACAACTTTCTATAAAGTGATTAAGTTCTGTCAGCCAACCCACAGTCTGCAACTCTCACCACATAAATAACCAGGCGAAGCCTGTTCAAGCAGTGTCAGGACTGGCTTTATATTCTAACTTCTGGTAATTTAAGCTGCCATGACTGAAAAGAGAGAAGATTAAGCTGACTTTTATAAACCATTATCTGTCTCTGGGAAATCATAGGGAAATGGTGAAGCTCCAAGCACTGAGGATTGACATTTGGAAAAAAAAAGAGAACAGGAAGGGGGGAAAAAACAGCTTCACATCCATTTCTCCAGCAAAAATGGATGGACGTCTTCCTGGCCAAAAAAGCTGCAGAAGAGCAAAACCAAGCCAAAGTGATAAACAGCAGAGATCTCAGGGGATTGAAAGCCTGAGGATTGAGGCTTTGATCTGAGAGGCACTGAGAGGAAGCTTTGATCTCCTGCCATTAATCATGGCTGGAGATACAGAAACAGGCTTGGCTAGAAGACATGTGAATGAGAGGTGTCTTCAGAGTGTGGTCAAAAAAGTGAAAATAGCAGCCACAACAGTAGGATCAAGGCCTTGTATTTTGGGTTTTTTTATGCGTGAGGCCTAAATAATAATAACAACAATAATAATAAAGTTGGAAGGGACCTTGGAGGTCATCTAGTTCAACCCCCTGCTCAGGCAGGAAACCCTATACCATTTCAGGCAAATGACTGTCCAGTCTCTTCTTAAAAACTTCCAGTGTTGGAGCATTCACCGCTTCTGGACGCAGGTTGTTCCACTGCTTAATTGTTCTAACTGTCAGGAAGTTTCTCCTTAGTTTTAGGTTGCTTCTCTCCTTGATTAGTTTCCACCCGTTGCTTCTTGTCCTGCCTTCAGGCTCTTTGGAAAATAGCTTGACGCCCTCTTCTTTGAGGCAGCCCCTGAGATATTGGAACACTGCTTTCATGTCCCCCCTCGTCCTTCTCTTCGTTAAACTAGACATACCCAATTCCAGCAGCCGTTCCTTATATGATTTAGCCTCCAGTCCCCTCTATGGCTTGAACAAATCAGTGTATCTAACTGAATGCAACGGGCAGGAACTAATTCAGGAACAGATCTTATGCAGACCAACCTCCCAACATCTATCAGCCCACCATCTTACATGTGAAACATGTTACCTCGCTAAGTTTGGTGGAACTCAGGTCACCCAGAAGCAGTGTATCTGAGGTGTGGGCAACAAGGTAGCGTTCCTTTCCCAGGATTTTCACCTCATCAATTTCATAGCCATAGTGGGATTTCAAAACTACTCGCATACCAGTGGACAAATTCTTCACAATGACCTGGCATATAGATAAAAAATATATCATAGCAAAGTAGCATTCTCTTCCCTCCAACCTATATACAAATTATATACATGCATAAGGGTGATCTGTAGGTAGAGAGTAAGTGTGGAATAAAAAGATGATAGCTCTTTATAGACAAACTGGTTCTAAGAAAGTCAAGTTGGTTTCCCAGAGAATAAGATTGCCTAGCATTATTAGCTAAATTGTTGCAATCATTAAATTCTCTCATTTTGTATTTACTATTACATGTAACTTTCGGAAGCATATCCAGATCAATAGCACAACCTCACACCATGCTAATATTTCTGCCTCTGCCTTCCAATAATACATTCTCAGGTTTTATTTCCACAAATCATTAGTTTGCCTTTAAATATGTACTTTAAAGACTACATATTTTCCTAATCAGAGATAGGAGTCAGAATATATTAAGTGATATGGCAGCAGCACAAGGCAGATGAAATCAAAGACTTTCAGAGTTTGAGGCAGAGGGCGGGGAGAATCTGGACGTACTGAATAAGAGTGGAAATGGATGTGTCCCATTTTTAGCAGCACTATATATATCATATTCTTGTATGTTCATGTATACAAATATAAGTATATAACATAAATGTGTTATACTGTACTGGTGGCACCGTAGTGAGAATGCAGTACTTTGCCGATAGCCTGGAGTTCGATCCTGAAGGGCTCAAGGTTGACTTAGCCTTCCATTCTTCCGAGGTTGGTAAAATGAGGACCCAGATTGTTGGAGGCAATAGGCTGACTCTGTAAACTGCCCAGAGAGTGCTGTAAAGCACTCTGGGCCAGTATATAAGTCTAACTGCTATTGCTATAACTGGGCATAAAACACGTACACGTATAACATTCACATATAGTTTGTTATACCACTGTATGCATTAATTCTCTAAGACAATAACATCTATTTTGTGACTTGTCATTGCTAACAAACTATCACTGTCCATACCATTTCCAAAACAATTCTGATTTATCTAGTTCCCACTCTGCTGATATTTGAAGCCAGCTGCTCAAGAGCAAAGGTCTTCAAACTTCACCTTCATACCTGGCTCGGCCCCACATACGTCATTTCAAATTTGTTCTTGTAAATGCTCCTGCGAAGACAGCAGTCAAACTGTTCCACTCCACCACACAGGGTACCCTGTGCAAACAAGAGTTTCCTTCAGATATCCTTTGTGTACCAGCCCTCCAAGCCAGCATATGGGATGGGAACACGTGGCCACCCAGGAATTATATCCACGGACATGATATGGAGAGGGAAACACACCGCACAGAGTCGTGAACCATCTCGTTTCCAGGCCAAGGCTGTGATGGTATATAGATGAGAAATTTCCTTGGGCTTGGCTTCCTCCCATGCACTGCGACGGGGACTCCAGTTCAGCACTCTCAGCCTGGGAGATCAAAGACGGAATGAGTAGCCAGGAGTGGTTTGCCCTACATCAAACTCTTCCCTTGTTCCATCCTCGAGCATCACACCTGTCAAAACTGCCAATTACTACTGATTGGCCCCCTGGACTGGCGGCTGCAACAGTGAACTCCTTCTCTGAAGCATCTCGACTGTAGTCAAAGGTTTGGATCACATGTCCTTCTTTCCCATAGGCCACAATCTTTTTGTCACAGCCGCAAGCCACAATGCTGTTGGATGCCCATGCCAAGGCATAAGGAGGACAGGGGTGCATCACCAATTTGCCCTGTTCAAAATCCAGAAGCAAAAATGAGAGGTGAAAGAAGCAGGTGACAACAGACAGCACATCGCACAGTGCTCTCAACAAAGGTTGTACAAATACTTATCCCAAACCAACATAAAAATAATATTCTGCTGAGAAGAGCTATGAAGTTTTCTTCTATCCATTGACTGGGTACACAATGGCATTTTAGAAACCCTTTTCTGGACATTTATATTGAAAAGCTATTCTAATCAGACTTATTCCTCTTAAGACAACTCCCCATCTCGTTAACCAGGTTACCCTAGAAAGGCAGTCTTGTTGTCTCTGTTATCTTCTAGTTATGCTTATTAATTTGCACAGGAAATGCAATATTTTTTTGCTATGGGGAGCTTCAACAGCCTAATTTAGCCCGGACTCTCCAAGTGCAGATTTGTTCTAAAATGAACACAGCCAGTATAACAAACTAGATAGATGTAATAAGGAATTTAATATATGAGAACCTTTCCATTTTTTTAAGGAGAACTTCCTGCTCATAACATAAAATATCAGGGGAAAAAGTCCTTTCTTCCTTTCCTGTCTCATACAAATATCCTTTTCTGCATTTAGTAGTGCACACAAATTGCTACTGTGTTCCACCCAGTACAGCAAGGAAAAGGCCTTGTTACGAAGTAGAGGAGATGGGGTGGGATGGGGTGGGGGTATGCTATGATCTTTTTTATTACTTTCTTCCTCACATGCCAGTGGAAGCAGAGTAGGGAGAGTGCATCTTGAAAGAAAGACAGAAAATCAAGAAAAGAGATGAGGTTGGTAGAAGGAATGAAGACTGTGCGAACTGTACTCCATCGCCTTTAAAGTATATGTAAGTGTAGACTAATATACAAAATCTTTCACAAAATAAAAAAATGTGCAGTATGTGTGTGTGTGTGTGTGCAACCTTCATGTCTCCAATTAAGAGATACTCCATTTACCTCATTCCTAAACTATCTCTCTACTTTAGTGGAAATTCTTGTTAGGGACTATCCATCTTTTCTAGAAATATGAAATAAGGCTAAAAAAGCTGCTGCATAACTGCTTTCCATGTTACACTCACCTCTTTACAGCAGACTTATCAAACACAAGGCCCGAGGGCCGGATGCAGCCTGCGAAGTGGTTTCATGTGGCCCATGAAACCATCCTGGAATCAGTGAGGGAACGGCCCCCTCTGCCTTGGCCCTGGCCCAGACCAGCTGGGAGCCAATGTACAATTTTGTGGTGGCCATCTATGCTGAAACGCATTCAGTCTTAGCTCCATAACCCCCCCCCCGCATGGCCTGAGAGGAACAGTGAGACTCCTTCAGTGGACCATGCCTTGGCACTTGCCCTGGTCCCACCCCCTTCTGCCAGAGACTCTCAGATCTGTCCCTCTCCTGCCCAGGCACCCACAGGCACCCTTGACATGAACGGTGTAGATCTGGCCATGCCCACCCAGTAGGCCACACCCACTCCATTCACACCCACCCAGTAGGCCGCACCCACCCGGCCCCCTGAGGGCAACCGCAATGCTGATGCGACCCTCAATGAAACGGAGTTTGACACCCCTGCTTTACAGGCTTAGTTTGGTTAGAGAAGGAGGAGAAACTTCTTCCTACCTGTGATTCCCCAGAGCCTTCATCATCAAAGAAATAACGCACAATGGTTCCATCTGCATGTCCAGAGAGGATACCCTTCCCCGAGACACTGCAGAGGAGATATACAAGGAATGATCAGTATGGCATTGCGGGGGATCATTTCTTTAAACCACTCATTTATTGTGGAGAAAAGATTCATTGTAATTGTAATCCTCTTTACAATGATGTAGGCTAGAACAGTGCAGCCATCAGCCTCAGGATAAGTATCATGTAGCTAGTCTATTCCTCAGCTGCAGTCTAAAAACAGGTACTCACCATAAAACAAGTACTCTATGCTCCTGGCCAGAGCTGGCCAGGAGAAAGAAATCAGAGCTAGCAGCTTCTAGGCAGTGAATTAAGGCACCTCTCCCATTCCCTCACTTACTTGGAGGCCAATGACACCACATAAGAATCTGTTCCGTAAATGGTAGAGGATTTGTTGGTCTTGGTGTTAGCTAAACGAATCTTTAGAAAAGAAAAATCAAATCAGCCCAGCAATCAGGGAGCAAGAAGAGAATGAGCCGAGGTGGCGCAGCAGTTAGAGTGCAGTACTGCAGGCCACTTTAGCTGACTGTTCAGCAGGTCAGCGGTTCAAATCTCACCGGCTCAAGGTTGATTCAGCCTTCCATCCTTCCGGGGTAGGTAAAATGAGGACCCAGATTGTTGGGGGCAATGTAAATATATATATACATTGCTTACTGGTGTACACCGCTTAGAGAGTGCTTGCACTTAAAGCGGTATATAAGTCTCATAAATAAATAAATAAATAAATAAATAAATAAATGAGAACAGACACCCTTCGATATCTTTACTGCTTAGGAGAATTGGGGACATCCAATGACACCTAAGAATCAATCTTCAGCAGCATCTAGATGTGGATGTATTTTTTCCCAATTCCTGAACTGTACTTCTCAAAAAAGAGCTCTATGACTCAGCTTCTCTCACCTTGCCTTCAACAAGCCCAAACACAATGGTATTCTCCTCTGGCCATAGCAAACATGTCACAGCGCTCTAATAAAGAACAAAGTAAACAGGATAATCAAGAGGAGCAAAAGAAAACAACTATTCTGCATGCAGACAAAGAAATCTATCAACTGAATGGCCTGTTTGTGAAATTGGAGTTGCAGTGCTGACTCCTCCCATGGCTGAACTTCCTCTTAGCAACTATGAAAAATGATATTACTACTAGGCAGAGGTACTCTGATCATCTTCCCTTCCTGTCTATTCCATTCACAAATCTTGGTCAGTGTAACTAATCCAATATCCTGCTTTTTCCCTCACTCTCTCCCAACTTCAGTTCAGGCACCTTTCTCTTATTAACCAAAAAGAAAAGTAGACCCAGACAGTATGAAAGGGTGTATAAGGTCTCTCATTACAAGAACACTTACTGTCTGAATGAACTTGTTGCAGATCACTTTTTTGTCACCCCTGGACAGGAATAAACACAGACAACATTACTGTCAAGAACCAAAATATTATAAAGCTCTCCTAGGAGATCCAGCTGGATGAAATAATATAGGAATAGTTTCAGTAAAGCAGGGGACAGGCACCCAGAGTGTGCCTATAGTTTCCTGAAGTTAATGTGACATTCCTTGCAATTTAGAACTCAAGGAAGGAAGAAATGAATCATCTTCATCCATATCCACAGTAACACCAGATGCACAATTGAAGGGCAATAATATAACACAACCTGTTGCTATTTAAAAGAATGAATCTCCGTTTTCATCCTATCCTACCCAAAGCACTTACCATTCTTCCCCAATTTTGTATACAAAGATTATGTTGTCTGACTGCCCGACAGCAATCTTAGTAGAATCTGGGGAAAATGCCATTCCTTTTACCACATAGCTCTTCCTGCCATACTGGAAAGAGAAGAAAGATAAAGGCTGTAACATTTATTCAACCTCATAATCCCAAAAATTGTATAGATATCTTCATGTCTGAAAAAGACACTCACATCAATGCAACCCACCAGGAAAACTATTCAAAGAAAAGGTGATTTCATTCAAGAAGCAGTAAGTGTTTTGCAAACAAAGCAGACAAAGAAACACAGATTTGCAAAACAGAAATACAAACAGTAAGAGACGAAAGAATTTTCTGGGGTATTTTAAAAATAGTATCAATAATATACGTAAGAGACAAGACCAACAAAAAAAACAGCTATGAGATTATACAATTTACTACAGGCTGAGAATATATTTAGAACATGTCAACTATGTATCAGTATATTAATGCCAATGTGTCACTAATAATGTGTGGCTTTATGCCATATATTATGGACATATATGAAAGCTGGAATATGTGAAATCCATCAAATTAGGTCAAAAAGGTCAAAAAGTTTATTCAAAACAAAAGTTATGGGGTTATGTAATTTCCACCAAAAAAAGGCTGTTTTCTAGAACCAAGCAAGACAACAACACTCTGTAGAAAATTACCAGGTCTGTGACAAATGCCAAAATGGAACTGGCCCTAACTGACTGTCAAATCTCATTAAAAAATATATAAAATGTGGAGAAACTGTAGTGCAGGCATGTCAAACTGCCGGCCTGCGGGCCGGATGCATCACACCAAAACCACGCCCACCCCATTGCCAGGAATGACATGCTTGCTGTAGTGTTTTGGAATCATCATCCAGAAAGGGGTATCATATGTGGACATCTTACTTCAATTCTTCTGGAACTGAGATTTTGACATGCATATATAAATGTGTAAATGAGTGGTGTTTTCAGTAAAAACAACAACGGTAAAAGTTGGAAATCTGCATTTGTTTGAGTTATGGCTGGGTCTCTGACAAAAAAGAACAAATAGCATTTCTGTCCTCCAGGGTGACCTTAGTTGTGATTTAGTGTGGTTTCTGCTTCATTGCAACACTGTGGAACTGATTTTTAATTATTTCCTGAAATGATTTTTTTCTTGCTTTACTGTCCTTTAAACCCTTGGAAGATAATTGAGCTTCTGTACAAGCTCACAATACATAAATTATGCTGGGAGATCTAATTATGCTATTTGCTGCCAGTCACAAAATTTGTTTCTTCTCTTCATATTTGCATTCATCTTATCTAACAAGTATTTTGTATAACAATAATCTCATGGCAGCATCACATGAATATCTTGTAAAATATTACTCTGGCAATTCCAAAGTAAATTCATTTTTGAAAACTTCCAAAAATATGCTCAGGAGAAATCTTCATAGAATAGGCATTTTTCCTCTCTTAATGCATAGCTCTACAAGAATAAAGTACTAAATACTTAACACTAATTCATCCAGAAGGGCAGCTCATAACGAGAGGGAATGAACATACCAACTGAGCAACCTATTACTCCCTTTCTCAAACGTTAACTTTGAACAAACTCTGAAATATGATTTCATACAGCTCGACCACTCAAAAAGCAATTTACCTTAGCATCTGCAGGCTTGGTGGAAAACTTGTCCCTACGCTCACCCTGTTCATCATATAAGAGAACCACTCGATCCACTGTGCAAACGGCAAATTTGGCATTATTTGGGGCCCAGGCCATGCAGGTAACCTTGGCTGCCCCATCCTGGAAGGAAGAAACGCAAGAAAGGTTATAAGTAGGGATATGCAGGCGGACTTCCACCAAATCAGATGAGAACTTCTTCAGGCCAGCCCGATTTCTTCCCACGGGAAGTGGAGATACACTACGCTACAGGCCATGGGCAAGGGACTGGAGGTGCGGTATTTCTCCCCATGTCTCGATCTTCTCCTTCCCAAACTGGTTTTTCTTCGGCTCAAGTAACCTGAGGAGTCAGTAGAGTCCGAACGTGTCGCAGCTGCATCGCCACCTCCGATCGCAGGTTGCCGCGTCTCCTCTGTTACCCGAGTAACGTCCCCTCCTGATGATGTCACGGGCTCCGCGTGAAACGTATAGGGGAGCCATGCGGACCATAGAGATACGTTAAATAGACGCTTACTTGTGGGAGCAACCTTCAAATCTCCACTGAGGGAAAAAACCTGATCATAGAAATCATTGGCAACTTAGTTTGCAGAACTCCATCTCACCTTTTTGGACTTCGTGGAAAACGTATAACTGCCATATACTGAGCTGGATATATTCAGTATAACCAACTGTACAGGTACAGACTAGTGATACTTGGCTTAATGTCAGTAACTGTCAAAGGGATCTTGGAGTCCAAGTGGACAATCATTTAAATACAAGCTAATTGTGCGGCAGCAAACAAAAAAAACCAATGCAATCTGTTGTGTCTTGAGCCTGCAAAGGCAGGCTCGGGACTGTGTCCCGGGCAGTTGCAAGCTGCCCGGGACCAGACTGGCTGGCGCCAGCACTCGCAAACATGCGTGAAGTGCAAAGCGCGCCAAATGTTGCTGTTTGGCCCGGGGATTGTCTTTAAGAGGAGGAGAGAGGCTTGTGTGCCTCGGCTTGTAACAGAGCAGCTGAACATCAATAAAGAGGCGCCTGAGAACTACCAGATGACTCCTGAAGTTATTGCTTTTTGCTGAGGACTCAACACAATCCTCGGCTGCATTAATAAAATGGTAAAATCAAGATCACGTGATGTATTAGTATTACTTTACAAAGCCTTAGTAAGACCACACGTGGAATACTGCATCCAGTTTTGATCACTATATAAAAAAGATGTTGAGACCGGAAAAAGTGCAGAGAAGAGCAACAAAGATGATTTAGGGGTAGAGAATAAAACATGAAAATCAGTTACAGGATTTGGGTATGTCTAGTCTAATGAAAACGACGAGGAGAGATATAGCAGTGTTCCAATATTTGAGGGGCTGACACAAAGAAGAGGGGGGTCAACCTATTTTCCAAAACACCAGAAGACAAAACAGGAACCAATGGATGGAAACTAATCAAGGAGAGAATTTCCTAACGGTGAGAACAATCAACCAGTGAAATGGGTTGCCTTCAGAAGTTGTGGGTACCCCAATACTGGAGGCTTTAAAGAAGAGACTAGACAGCCATTTGTCTGAAATGGTACAGGGTCTCCTGCTCAAGCAGGGGTTGAACTAGATGACCTCTAAGATCCCTTCCAACACTATTCTGTTACTCTGTAGTCTTTCTTACCCAATTTTGTCACCCTTAAATTACAGGTTCCCCAGCGTTCAAGCAGCCCTTTTCACCTCCACTCAGAATAACGAGCAGGTGTCCTCCAAATAATTCTTAGCAGTTTGCCACTGACCAAACAAGCTAGGGGTTGAGTCATGTTGGAGATGCCCACCACTGTACCCTCCAAAATCTACAAAGCAGATTTTTTTTCTATCACTAAGGGAGAGTTTTCCTAAGGGAGAGTTTTCCCAGAAAGTGAAATCCTAGTTTTCATGACTCTAAATAAAAACAGATAAATATGAACACTGCTATGTGGTTATAATAGTCTGTTGACTGTTTTTGAGATGTTTTTAATGTATGATATTTTTATTCTTTCCATGGCTTGCATTGATTGTGGGATCCTTGAAGTTCTCTAAGCTTCTTTTCTGGCAGATATTTCATTACCTAATTAGGTAACATCATCAGTGCTAGCATCCCACAGTTCAACCCCTAGCTGCAAATATTCTCTTCTATTTTGTTGGTTGTGCTATAGTGGTCAGGCACTTTTTGGTAAAGTTCTGTGGGTATCCATTTTGTTGAAAGATGTTGCATAAGCAATCTGTTTACTTTTTCTGATGTTCTTGGCTGCTGCACTGTGTTTGTCCTTGTCTGAATAATGTTCTTTCACAGCTCTTCTGGTCAGAGGTTGGGTTGTTACTTTGGTCAAGGAGCACTTCGCTAATGTGGGTCGGACTTCTGTTTTTAATTTGCTGCCATTTCCTCTGCTCACAAGGCTATCTAGGAAGGTTAATGTTTGTTGTTTTCTTCTTCCCGTGTGAATTTTATTTCTTTGAGGATGTTGTTTCATGTATCTTCTCTAGTTCTTAGCCCATTTTTTATACAATCTTTTACTTCTTCCATTTCAAATTTCAATACAAATTTATACATTTTACCTGTTACACGTTCATCATTTGTAAATCGTTCAACTTTAAATTTTGTCTTCTGTTCAATTCCAAATATCTTATTATCCATATGTGCATATGGACATTGGCTATGTATCATTGATAACTAAATCTTCTGCACAAATTGCTCTTTTGGGTTCATCTTATATTCTCCATGTCTCTGTTCTCTTGATAAGTTAACAATTTTTCTTTACCAACCATTTATTCCTCATAAAATGCTTCTTGTGCTGAGAACCCATAAAAATATTTGGCACAATCTGGATTTATATCTGTTCCATATTCTTAATATGGCACTTTTAATATAATGATTCTTAAAGTCTATATTAACCTTAACTTTATCACATCACAGAAAACAATGCCATCAGAACTTCAGATTGTTCCCTTCTAATTCTAAAATTCTAAAAAGTATAATTTTCAGATCACAAGAAACCTTAACCCCAACCATCTGTTTTACTTAGGTCAGATCCCACTTGAAATACAGAATCCAGTTCTATATTCAGAGAAATTGAAATGGGTTCATACAGGGGAAACAAGTATGGCCAAGAGATGGGGAACTATTGAATGGGGGAAAATTGAACGCAGTTTAGGTTTGGGAAAAGATGACTGAGAAGAAATATGGTAACACTTTTCAAATACTTGAAAGGACATCATATAAAAGAAGGTCAGAGACAGGATTTGTTTTCTCTGATTCTGGAGCACAAGACAGAGAAAAGTGGATTTAAGTTACAGGGAGACAAATTCTGATTAAATGTTGGAAAAAACAACCTAATAGTAAGAGTAGCTTGACAGTGGAACCAATTATTTGGAGTTGATGGACTCCTCTTCATTGGATTTGTTCACATGGATTCAAGATGCTCCTAGGCCCTCTAGGATGCTTTAATGAGGATTCCTGCCCTAAGCAAGGTGTTGGAATTGATGGCCTAAATCCACCTGCTGGCTGGGAAATTCTGAAAGTTGAAGTTGCATCTACATGGAGGGAAGTGTGTATTTGGGTGCCCCAGGGCTTTGTTCTGGGTCCAATGCTCTTTGTTTGGATGAGGGGGTAGATGGCGAACTATCAAATTTGCAGACAACACCAAGCTGGCAGGAATAGCTAACACTCCAGAAAATAGGCTTAAGTATCAGAAGGATCTTGACAGACTTGAACATAGGATGCTATCTAACAAAATGAAATTTAATGGTGAAAAAAGTAAGGTTCTACATTTAGGCAAGACAAACCAAATGCATCGGTACAGTATAGGTCAGGGATAGGCAACCTTGGCTCTTTTATGACTCGTGGACTTCAACTCCCAGAATTCCTGAGCCAGCCATGCTGCAGTTGCCAAAAAATCCAACACAGTGTTAGGCTGTATTAACAGAGGAATAGAATCAAGATAATGTGAAGTATCAATACCACTTTACAATGCCTTGGTAAGGCCACACTTGGAATACTGCATCCAGTTTTGGTTACCACAATGTAAAAACAGGTGTTGAGACTCTAGAAAGAGTACAGAGAAGAGCAACGAAGATGATTAGGGGACTGGAGGCTAAAACATAAGAAACGGTTGCTGGAATTGGGTATGTCTAGTCTAATGAAGAGAAGGACGAGGGGGGACATGATAGCAGTGTTCCAATATCTCAGGGGCTGCCACAAAGAAGAGGAAATCAAGCTATTCTCCAAAGCACCTGAAGGCAAGACAAGAAGCAATGGATGGAAACTAACCAAAAAGAGAAGCAACCTAGAACTAAGGTTGTGAATGCTCCAACACTGTTTTTAAGAAGAGACTGGACAGCCATTTGTCTGAAATGGTATATGGTTTCCTGCCTGAGCAGGGGGTTGGACTAGATGATCTCCAAGGTCCCTTTCAACATTATTATTTATTATTATTATCATCATTATTATCATTATCATCATTATTAAATTATTAATTATTATTCCACACATTTTGAAGTTGACCTGCTTTAGAAATAGGGCCCAAATGACATGTTCCAATTCTGTGACAACAAACCTGTTTATGACATTTGCATTATTAGTTTGGAAAGTTATGTTTTTAATAGGAACAACATTTACGATTTTTTTAAAAAATATATTTTATTGGTTTTTTAATTTTAACAAAAAGTACTTAAGACACACCGTGGTGTTTGGGTAAACAAACATTTCAAGGTTAAAAAAACATACATAAACAGCTCAATACATTCACTATCATGTCTCTATTTCTCACAAATAACATAATAGATTTAATATATTCCATTTCTAGCTTAAATTTCTGTTACTACTCCACCTGTTTTAAAGCTTTATCAATTTAAAATTACCATAATCAAATATTGTTTTACATCAAAAAATTATCACTTCAAGTATCTCTACCAAGTATATTCTTATCATCATTTTATCAATCTCATTCATTTCTTCTTCCAGTGATAGCTAACTAAGTTAAAAAAAAAAACAATGTTAAACCTTAATTCCTTTCAGTTCATTACACAAGCTTTAGATTCCATCCAGTTAGTTATCATACCTTATCAGATCATATTATTATAGACAAAAATCACCTAATCAATTTAAACACTTCAAAATTACATTCTCATAACTGAACATTTTTTTTCAATTCCAAAACATATATATATATATTGGAAATATATATGTGGAAGTGTCTTGGAGACGTTTCGACGAAGTCCCATTTGTCATCTTCAGGCTAGTGTTTTCAGCTTTGTGCTTCGAGGAGCACCAAGGTGAAAACACCAGCCTGAAGATGACGAATGGGGCTTAGTCCAAACGTCGCCAAGACACTTCCAATTTTACGCGGGAGAAAACCCGAATAACCAAAAACCTACATACATACAT